TTTTTGGTTTGTGGAGAGTTTGTATTCAAGTTCATGTCCAGACCCCTTTTTGCGTGGGGCAAGGTGTTGGTTTGCCATTTAGCTGTGGGTCAAAACCGTTTTGGTACCATTTCGGTCACCACCCATTTCTGTCTATAGCGGGGATTGGGATGTTCACTGGGGGTACGATTCGGCTTTTGACCCATGGCCCTGTTCGCTGACACCTGGCCAAGTCATTTTGGATGTGGGCGCCTTTTGAAGCTGACCAGGTCGTACGGATGACTTTTGACCTGTCCGTTTTACGATCCTCTAAAGGTGAATCAATCTAGGTCCTCCAGTAGAGAGGTCAGAATAAGTTGGTACCCCTTTTTTTTTCCGTAGTCTATTTTAGTAGGGCAACCCTCCCCCAAAAAGGGTAAAAGGGCACTACTCAGCAACCTAGAAATGTTGGTGGGTGAAATTCCGAAGCCCAACCACCTTTCACCAACTAAAAACCTCAAAGCCTAAAAGCCTCCGAATGGCTGGGAGCCACCAGGTGTTGTCTTTCAACTCCGCCGCTTGCAAGAAAAAAGGGCTGGTCGGCCGGGCGAAAGAGAAGGAGAGCCGTCGCGGTGGTCGCAGTCGGGCTTGCAGCACAAGTTCAATGAATGGCCTTCACGGAAAACGGCCGTCTGACTGACCCATCCCAGTTACCTTTATATGAAACTCCTGAACGGGACGTAATGGTCGTGAAATATAAGCCCCCTTTGTTTCATGGTGGTATGTGAATCCCAGGGACCACTTTTCTTGGGTAGCCAATGGAACACAGTGAAACCTTACTTGTGAGTGGATCCCAGTTGCTCTTGTAGTAACCAGCAATTGTCCTGTTGGCTTCTAAAGGGTGCAAGCTACCCACTATGCAGGTGAATGGATACGCTGGGTGAGGCTGCGCACCCTGGGTATTTGAATGTTCAGCTTGTGACCGCGTTCATAATTGTGGTACGAGTAAGTGGGGATAGTTTCCTTACAACCATAGTTGTCGACTTGCTTCATGTTAACCCCGGGTTGAGTCGGAAATCAAACCACTTGTTGGAGGGGCCTACACCCCCAAAAACCCCCCGTGGATGGACAAACTCTTGCACCACCCAAGAAACCCTGGAATGATGTGATCCCCTGTAAATGCCAACAAACGTTATGATTTCAACCATGGAGTCTTGGGTGGTGCGAGACTCGCGGATTTCGCAACCATCCACAGTGGGTCCATTTTGTTGTGAACTAGAGGGGTGAGTTGGAAATCAAACCACCTTTTGGAGGGGCCTACAACCCCCCCAAAACCCCCCCGTGGATGGACGAAACATCTTGCACCTAAGAAACCCAGTCATGATGATTCTCCTTGTTTTCTACCAGCCAAGCATGGAGCCCGAGGGTTCCAAAATGTGTTGTGAGCAGCAAATGGACTTGGTCCATCCACGTATCAACATAGGAAGGGTTTATTCCGGGGTCAATGCACTCGCTGAGTGGATGGCCCAAAAAAAGTTCAAACTTTATATTTACCACTAAAAAGGTCTTCCCAAAAAGCATAAGGTTTATGAATTTAGGAAGTGAGTCAACACTATCCTTGGTCTTCCAAGGACCCGCAAAACCAGGGCCCTTCTTGATTTTGATCTTGGCTCCAAATGTAAATTCGGCCAAAGGCAACTGCTTTTCCAGGGTCCTGGAAGATCAAGGTATCTACCTGGAGTCTCCTTCTGACCCGAAATAAAAATGGGCCGGGTCATTACCCAATTTTTTTGGTTGATCGTTAACCAATCTTTATTTCGGGTCAGAAGGAGACTCCAGGTAGCTTGAAGATCCAAGAAATCTGAAAATGCCAGCGACTCCCGCGGATAGGACTCGGGACCTCTTTCTGTATCTCTGCATGCGGCCCAAACCCGGTGAGGCGGGAGATTCAACCTGAAACCCTCTCCCTGAACATCTCTACTCTTGGTATGGGCTTGCAAAAAACTTTGTTTTTTTGCGGACCCCCAGTAAAAATGAACAGAACCAAAAAACTAAAAACCAAAAAACATGCCAAGAACAGTGAAGTGAAAGCTGCCCCAAACCACGCCAGAGCCGATTTCTGCGCCCATCGACCCAAATCGCTTTCAGCAGTTGGTTGACAGATTCCTCCATTTGCTTAAGTCCCCTGGAAAAAAATATGTCCAGTAGTGAAATCGATTCCCTTAAAAACCAACAGGGGGTGGAAAATCAGCTTTACCAAATGGAAAAAATCCCTTTAGCCCCAGCAGGGACAAATATAACATACCCTGCCGTCATTGCCATGTTGAACTCAGGGAAAAGAGAGCCTCTGGAGGTTCAGGAAGGAGTTTCCCTTGGGCGTCCTTTTGATTTTCTCAGTTGTTCAGTAACAACGAGAGGTAAGCTGGGTGGCCATTACCATGCGTAGCTGTAAGCCTCAATTGCCCGAAGACCTTTTCATGACTAGGGCTGTGGGAAATGAGCACTGTGATACAAGAAGGGCTTCCGAAACACTAAGCCCCCACAGAACGGGGGAGATTCCAACTTGTATCACAGAAGTGGGGTAAAACCCCTTGATCCCACAACCCTGTTCAGTGACCCTGGAAAGAAAAGGAACCCTTTTTGGGGCTTGGACCATTTTTAGTGGGGCAGCCACCAAAAAAAGGGAACAAGGGTGCCACTGAACAACTGAGTTTTTGGCTAAAGCGGAGTTGAGCTCCTGCTGAAACCACGAATGGCAACCGGGAAAAACGCGTGCCCAGACATTGTTTCCCAAGGAAAAGGTCGTTGTGGGGAAACCCCGCCCCCACGCTTGGATACAACTTGGTGGGGATAAGCAGCAAGATGATAGGCAAAACAGTGCTTTTCCGTTTGGTTTCCTTTAAACCAACCCCAAAACGCGTCTCAAAAAGACCGACACAAATCGATAAGAAATCCTGTTCAAAATTGTCGGGAGCCTAATCACAATCCACAATGCGCTTAATCCTTTTTCTGGTCGGGAATCTTGTTAATCTGTAATCCGCTTTTGCAAATCGTGATTCAAAACCTATACTGGAACAAATCATGCAACCCCAAATGCGTAACCCGTAAACCACAAAATGGAAACCCCAAACAAATAAACCCGTCCTATTCATCGAGGTGTTCCCTCCAAAAATAACGAATCAGGTGTTCCCACCAAATGGGACAGCCCTCTATTAATCAACCACGGCTTTATGAATCGGGTGCCATTAATCCAATCCGACAAACATCGCTTGCCGACCTGCCTCGCCGGGCTTCCGGGGAGGAGATCTCATTTGGGCCCGGGACCGTGATATGGCGCGTCTCCCAGATGTACTTGATGTACTTGGGTGCTCAAAATTAAACAGGAGGGGCAAACCGCAGGTTTTGGTCCATGTTTCCCCTTGCCAGGGATCCATTGTGGTACCTTTTTTTTTGCAGCCACTTGACTCTGGAGAGAATGGGGAATCGAGCACAAAGGCAAAGTTGGGTGTGTCTGTGTGTGGTTTTCAGGGTTCCATTTCAGCTTGACAGAAAGAAGGCCACCATGATTGATTTGTGTTTTTGGGTTCCCCTATTTTGACACCCAAATGCACAAAAGGTGCGTCGCAGTTACATCTAAAACTGGTCCTGGGGCCAAATCTGGTACGTGGTTTACTGCTTGTTGTCCACCATGTTGCTAGGGAAATCGGGATTCAGACACGCCAATTACTGATTGACGAAAACAGCTATACAGCAGAGCAATAGGAGGAAGGGATGAAACACGGTTGACAAAGGCTGATGTTACGTCCCCAACTCCAGGTTCCTGCCTGGTTTGCCGGAAAAAGAAAAACTCGTTTCTGCTTTCCCAAAAAAGGCTCTTGCAAAAAGAACAGGGAGTGAGTGAGAACTAGGTCCTCCAGTGGAGAGGTTAGAATAAGGGAACCAACTTTTTTCTGTAGTCTATTTTAGTAGGGGAACCCCCTCCAAAGAAAGAAACGGTAAAAAGGCACTACTGGGGGACCTAGCCAACAATCCATTCCCTAAAACGAACATCCTGCGCAATCCTCATGCGACAAACATCTCTTGTCGACCTGCCTCGCCGGGCACTGGGGGACCTAGATAATCCAAGTGTAGGCTGGCGACTTGACGCGCTTCTCAGCACCAAACGGTCTGGCAAATCACGGAAGTGCGGTATTTGACCGCAGTCCAATTCAGCCGAGAATTGTTTTCGACCAGGCTCTACGAGTCTCATAATCTGGGCCGCGCAACCTTTTTTCCCTACTGGTGACCCTTTTTCACCTTGGTTTAAACTCAGTTGCTTTCTGCTCCCCTGCACAAAGTTTAACTTTTAGTGGTTTAATGGAAAACCAATTAGCTGGCAAAAAGTTAAAGTCCTAACATCCAAGCAAAATGCACCAAAGTAAAGAGAAACAAAATGGAAAGCAACAATTGTTGGGGTCCCCCTATCTTGACGCATACCCGTATCGACCCAAACCACTTGAAACTGGGATCTAACCTCTTCGCCTTTTCATCTTGTCTTCGGCCCAAACCGGGGGCATGTCTTTTGAGGGTATTTTTTGGGGGGTTGGCTGAAAGGGGGGCCAAAAGAAAAAAAAACACCCAATTTTTGGAGTAAACGACACACCAACATCTGGTTCTTGGTTTACCTAATTCCTTTTCAGCTTTTCCCCCTGATTGGTTTGGACTGGCTTGGATTGCTGTTCCAAGAACCAAACGTTCGATCCAAATCCAACCCGCCAAGCCAAATGGATGTGATTTGTCTTTTTCCTGGGCTGCTCTCAGATCCCCCGCTAAAAGTGACTAACTTTTAGTGAGTTAAATGGAAACTACCACTAAACAGTAAAAAACCCAAAGGCTAAGGAACCGGATGGCTGGGAGCCGTCAAGTTTTTAGAGGACCCCCTTAACAAAATGTGGTGGTTCTTGTGTTTCCCTTTAAAAGCACCAAGCTTGGGGGGGGGGAAACGGGTACCAAAAAAAACAGACCCAAACCATCCTTTCCAGGGTTATCGGATTCAAACCGTTCCACCAAAGGAAGCCTGCCCTTTTGAGACCGTAAAGAGCCTTTCCTGCACACAGCCTCGCGCCGCCAGGCTGCCATTGATGCCCACGTGCGCACCTTGGGACAGCGCTACATGGGCTTTGTGCTGAGGCTACACCTTGTTCATGGTTTGAAAGGGGAACCAAGAGGAACACCGCCACTTTGGGCGGTCTCCTAAAAAACGACACACCTGAATAGTTACACACATAAAAATTGCCATGATCATAAGGCATATCATGTGGTTGAATACTCCAAAACCCCGTTCCCAAACCGTCGCTATTCTGCAGCGCGACCGCGACGTCGTCCTGGCCGTCAAGCAAGATGGCAACGTGCTTCGGCACGCCGACGACCCGACGACCCGACGACAGCAAGCGCGACCGCGATCTCGCCTTGGCGGCGGTCGCGCGAACTGGCTGGGCGCTTGAACTCGTTCGGCGACGCGAGTCTCCGGTGCGACAAAGGCGTCGTCTTGGCAGCCACGCAAACTGGCTGGGCGCTTGAGCTCGCCGACGTGAGCTTCCAAGGGGACACCAACATCATCACAGCCCACTGAAAATTGTTTCATTCGTCACCTATATAGTGTATCCTCTATTTGCACAACAAAAACTAACTGTTTGTTGGTTCGTGGGGAACTTATGTGTCTGTTTTTAAGAATCGGACCCCAAACAAATGATTTCGGTGTTCCTTTAGCACAAACAAGAGGGTGCGAAGAGAGCCTCGCAAAAAGAGAGGCCCTGGTTCCAAAAACAAAGCTTCCATGTGTTTCTTCGTCCGGGAAAACAATCCAGTGATGGCTGCCCAATAAACCAAGCGGAAAAAAAGCAACATCTTACAGCCCCAATTACTTTACAAAACAGGACGCCCTGAAAGTATGTGAGAAACACTCACAACCCGGTATTAAAAATTGTCTACCCAGAACCATGGTTCAAGAAGTAAGAAGGCGGCCGCAACGATTTCTGGCTGGGACTGCCCCTTACTAACCTAACCATATACCCGGGTTTTGAGCACTTGGCTCATGTGAACAATACTTCAGAAAGCTTGAAATAGCGCACTCCTGCAGCATCCTGCCGTCTTGTTTCACCTTCAGCACATAGGGGGCTCGCCTGTTTTTTAGAAATCGGACCCCTTTTCATGTGGCTTTTGAGGGAAACAAACAGGAAAACCGAAGCCCATTTTGAGGGGTCCCCTGAAAAAACGACACCCAAACAGGGTTACGGAGGTCCCCGCCAAAACAAGCTGCATTGAAACGATCGCCACTTTGGAGGTTCCAAAAAGGGAAATGGAGGTGGGGGGTCCCCCTAAAAACAGGAAAGCGTCCCCAAAATGGGGTCCCCAAAATTCAAGGGAAACCACAGCAAACAAAACACACACCCAACTGGGCTGTCCTCAGATCCCCGCTAAAAGATTGACTTGTGGAATAAGTTTGGACATCCAACCACGCAACCAACTAAACACTTAGATCTTCATCTTCTTAAGTCCCCTGGGAAAAAATATGTCCAGTAGTCATAGATTCCCTTCATTTCCCTTCAAAACCAACGGGGGGGGGGAAAAAAAAAAAAACACTTCAAATGGAAGACTCAACACCTTTCAGGCACCGAATGGCCAAAACCGGGAAGCCAACTGGACCTCAACGTTTACCCGAAATTTTTCAGGCCCTCCGAAGTTCGGATCCTCTGGATGCTGCTGGTCAGGGACCCGGATGCATGGAAAAGCACCGATCGAAGCTTGCAACTCGTCTATTTCGTGGTGTCCGTTTCGAAAGATTTTGGGGTTGAAGAAGCAACATGACTCAAATGGTTGCGCAAAATGGAGATCTTTGAAGGAGCCCTGATGGTGGGCAAAAGCAAACTTGAAAGGGGCAATCATTCTGGGTGAATAATTATGTTTAACCAACCTGAAATAAGGTGGTGGGGATATCCCCCCATAAACCACCATTTGGGGTGAGGTCGTGTGAGGTCGTTGTAATTCACCCAGATCATTGTGGAAAACCCAAGCTGAACGGGACAATTAAGCAACACCAAAAAGGCCAAAAGCAAAACAGATCAGCTAAATAGGGGCAATGTAAGGATTGCCCTTGGATAGCCCAAATGGGGTTGTGTTTGAAACCCGGGACCCTTTTTGTTGGGTGGGTCAAAAGGAACACTGGAGACCGTTTGGGCCATTTTGAAGATTCCATCTCCGATTTCGGGAGTGGCTCGAATTCTCAGTATGTCAATGCTATGACAAATCAAGCAACACATTCAGGTCGTCCCAGGTTGGCAAATCCTCTTTTCTTTTCCCCAGATCCCCAGTGAGAAGAGAAGAATCGGCACTCTTCTGTTTGTGGCACTTCGGCACTCACAACAAACGACTGACCAGGTGCATCGCTGCGATTGGCTGCCAGGGCGACGTATCAGGTAAAAAGCATAAGCAATGTTTGCAACAAGTCCCCCAACTTTGCGATTTCCACTAAAGTCGAGCTTAGGACGTGAGCTTTCAATGAGCTGCCCAAAGGACCCAAGAATAAGTATGAAAGGTGAGCCGTTTAGACCCATCGCTCTAAATGGACCCAAGTTGGGAAGACCAAAGGTTACGAGCTCCTCCAGTAGAGAGGGATAGAATAAGTTGGTACCTTTTTTTGTTGTTCGGTAGTCTACTTTAGTACGGGAACCCTGCCCCCCCCCCCAAAAAAAACGGCCTAAGTTGGCACCAATTGCTGGGGGACTTAGGTTCAATAGGTTGCCCGGGCCCAGCGACAGCAACCCCGGGGCCCGGGCTCGAGATGCTCACGTCAGGAAATGGTGGCAGCTCTAAGATCGCCCGTCCTTTTGCGTTCGGCCTCGGATGGCGGCCGAAATGGGATCGACCCAAGCTACCGGCAGAATCTCCCTAAGGAGCCTTTAAAATGGGTCCATGACCCCTGTACTTTGGGTTGAAAACATGGGTTGCCCCAAAAGCATGAGTTTCCCTCGTTTGGACCCTCAAGCCGGCTTGCACCAAAATATTCCCTTTTTTGGAGGGTAGTTTGAGGGTCCAGATAGACAATCCTCCTATCAGATTGTGTTTCAGATTTAGCCGACCCGAACGTATTTACTGGCTTTCGAGGAGATCCCTGAAGATAGATGATTTCACTATGGAAAGAAGGGAATCAACCCACATGGCTTAAAACCTTCCGCCCTTCCGGAAATACTGCCCTGGTCAGGGAATCAACGTCTCAGTTTTTCAGATTCCATCATGATCCTGAATCTGAATCTTCTCAAGTGCTGCTTTGCGGACTTAGCTAAGGCCCCGATTGGGCGAAGGACTTGTCAGGGGGGCAGGGGGTAAAAGTTGTTAATCTTCAGGCAGCACAATCCTCAAACTACCCTTGAAAAGGGAAACCACCCCATATTTCTTGGGCACCCCAGTGTTAAGGCTAGTTTGAGTGTCCAGGCAGTTGGCTTACTTTGGGATTATCGGTAAACACCAAAATTGTGGTGTATGAAATTCAAGACATGCGCATTTTCAGCAGGTGTCACCACATGCCAGTGGAACTTTATTGTGATATATGAACTTAAAGTGACAGCGTTCCCCTCCAAAAGTAGCCTGACGCCCGGCTATCTGTTGCGACAAGCCCACTTTCAAAAATAAACCAGGGTAATAAATCCGGAGTTCCTCTTAAATCCTAGACTGGGTTGCCTTCAGATCCCCCGCTAAAAGTTTCACTTTTGGCGGTTAAACTACCACTAAACACTAAAAGGCTAAAAAGCAAAGGGGATGGCTGGGAGCCACCAAGTCAAGACATTACTTTAAGGGCCTATCCTTGGCTTCTCCTAGGCTTATCTAGGGACAAACCCCCCACCAATTGCCCACCTCGAATGGGCGAAACAGGGGCACGCTCAGCTTTGGCCCAGCAAAAGAGCACATTCATGTAGTGGGGATTGGGATGTTCACTGGGGGTGCGGGATTTTGACCCATGGCCACAGGATCGCAGTAAAATACCGCTCACTTGCGATGGAGTGGATGGGCCAAAAGAAGTCCAAACTTGAGTCTAAAAGCCCAGGAACCTAAAGGAGTCGCAACTTTGAGGTGACCCCACTCTCTCGCTCTCTCTCTCTCTCTCTCTCTCTCTTTCTCTCTCTCTCTCTCTCTCTCGCTCTCTCTCTCTCTCTCTCTCTCTCTCTCTCTCTGGCTCGCTGTCTCTCTCGCGGCCATCGGGCGAGTGATATGCAAGATGCATGACTAAAAAGCATTGCGGAGTTGATTCAGTTGCCCAGATTGGACCCTTCGGGGCCATGACTTGCACGCACCAACGCCATCTAGATAAATCTAGGTACTACCCCCAGGGGTGGAATAGGATATACAGCACCTACATAGCCACTATCATAGGCGTCCTTTTAGGGCAAATAGATGGCCCTGGTAGATGATTAAACCACCAGGTAAACCAGGGCCATCTATTTTTCTACCAAAACAACCAAAAAAGGACACCTATGGCCACTATGGAAAGGGTGTATAAAGGGCATCTTAGACACAGCCGAATGCGTTTTGGGGGGTCGATAGGCCCGCATAGGCGACTCCGGGATGGCTGCCTTCCGGGAGTTGCGGGGGTGCTGGTGATACCACCCTGGCGTACTACTTTTCGGGAAGACCCATTGTACCTCCATTTGCTGAGAAGACCCCTGAAAAAAAGAAGGAAAAAAACAATCCAGCAGTGATAGCTTCCCTCTAAAACAAACAGGGGAAAGTAAAGAATTTTCTTTTCAGCAAATGGAAGTTGCGTGCGGAACCGAAAGTTTTTCTTTCGGCGCTCAGGCGCTTAGCCACCTTTTGAGGAAGCCAAAAGGATACCACCTGGGCTTAGTTTTAAGATGTTTCAAGGAACCCCCTTAGGCAGGTGTCAAAAATGAGCACCCTGTTTGGGCCATGGCTATTCTGTGGGGCCCACCTTGAAAAGGGGGTTCGAAAAGGGGTCCGAATACTTTTTGACCGCCTAGAAAGGACTTCAAAGCGCCGGCTGGGAAGCGGTTTCCGGGGTCTTGGTCACCGAAGATTCGGGCCAAGGGCAATGCGGTTTGAGCCAAAACTTGCTCCCTCAAGAACAGGAAATCAACTAGACAAATTAAACAGAACATGGACAATATCCATGTTCTGTTTAATCATTCGAGTTGTTTTGCTTTTTGGGAATGGTGGGAGCAATTTGACTCTTGGAAACACACGAAGTTAGTAAATCGGCATTCCATTGCGCCATGGCGCCTGTCGAGCATGTTTGTCCCTTTCCTCCTGGCACATGGATTCCGCAGGCGATTTTTTGCGAGCGAGCCCGTCATTTCGGAAAGGCACGCCAATGCTTCCATTTGGTTAAGACTACTTCTTACTTTCCCCTGTTGGTTTTCAAGGGAATCTATCACTTCTGGAAATATTGTTTTTTTTTTGTTTTTTCCAGGGGACTTAAGCAAATGGAGGAATGCTTCTGTAAGGCTTTCGCTGTTTGCCAAACATCTAATCAAACTCCACTATGGGCTCAGACAAAAAATCGACTACTGGCTGGCTAGATGTTGTCATTGGCAAACCATCATGAATCACAGGCGCATTGCCTTCCGCTATGAATGGCAAAATATGACATCTCCGCCGGAAATGAGGAGTCACCTCCTATAAAAGAAAGGGTGATGTCACAATTCAAACGCAAAAACGTGGCGTTGCTATGATTTGCCAAAACTGAGCTTTGCTCACATCCCCTGCCAAAAAAACAAAACACCACCAAACCAACTCAAAACACCCAAAAACCTAAGAGACCGGATGGCTGGGAACCGCCAAGAGAAAAGTAGTTTACCAGGATGTTCACTCCTAGGTCCTCCGTAGAGAGGTTAGAATAAGGGTACCCCTTTTTTCTGTAGTCGATTTTAGTAGGGGAACCCTGCGCCAAAAAATCGAAAAAGGGGACCTAGACTCTCTAATTCAGCGCCCTAGCGCAAAAGAGGCATGAAGAAATTGGCCTTTGGTCCTTGGCCTATGACTAGTCACTGGACTTTGCAAAGGCTCTTGCTACTGTGGACGGACAAATCCGCTTCTCGCACCACCCAAGACACCATGTGAAAACCATTGTTTGTGGGTATTTGCGTTGGGGATCATATCATTCTAGGGTTTCTTGGGTGGTGCAACACACGTCTTAGGTGGTGCAGGATTTTGTCCATCCACAGTATTTGTCGAAATTAGCGGGCTTCAATGGAATGCAATAAAACCACCCCCAAAGCGAGTACCAACTCAAAAGTTAGACACACTCGTACTAGTTCAAATTCGTCGGTTTGCGTGAAATCCTCTTTCAAACAAGCCCAAAACAAGGTACCAACTCAACAACAATAGACACGCCCGTTGTTAGAGAACCAACAAATCAGTCCCTAAAGCGAGCGACGAGTGCCAAGCACCGCGAAACGGACCCGAATATTCCCCTAACATCCGCTTTGCACCCACCCAACAGCGGGTACCAACTTCAAAAAATGATATATTCCTAGTCACTCACGCCAGAAACCCTGCGTAGTTCAAAGTAAATCTGAAAAGTCACCATCTGTTTCCCCTTGAGTTCCCCTGAGTCCTGACTCCGTTTCAATCCACCTTTTACACCATGTTCTCCCTTTTCCCCCCGCTTGCCCAAAGGACCCAGAAATCAAAGGTGCACTTTTTGGGGAGCCCATTGGTCGCCCGTGTAAACCACCCCCCAAAAGAAAGAAAGGTGGTGTTCCATTGGCTCCCTCAAAACAAGACCGCCTCATTTTGCAGGCAATCTCTCAGTTGGTGGTTTGGATTCGTTGGATTGGGATTTGAAAAAGAAGGGACACCAGAAGGTCAAAAGGTCGGCCTTGAATCCCTTTCAAAAGTTGATCAGTTTACTGGTGGCTTCCATTGAGAAACCCTGCTTGACTCCCGTTGAATCCCCACCAAGGGGAAACCGAAAGGTCATTTCAGGTCGGCCTTGAACTACTGATCTCCTTGACTCCCCTTGAATTCACTTTGCGCTTTCGCAGACAAATCGTTTTCCACGGCAAATCCGATTTTGCGGCCGAGCAATCGAAGGAAGGACCGCACGGACCGCGCCTCAGGAGCCCTGAAAGTGCCGATAATGCGCCGCTCCTCTCGCGCCTGGCGTTGCTTTTTCGCCCCTTGAAAAAACATAATATGAGTCACAATCAAAACCCGGTATTAAAATGGTCTACCCAGAACCATGGTTCAAGAATTAAGAAGGCGGATATCCGCAGCTTTAAAAGGTTAGGATTGCATTTGTTTGTGGTTGTTAAAGGGAAGCCAAGAGGCAAACAGCCGTTTCTGGGGTCCCAAACAAATTACAGATAGCTTCAGCAGTGATAGATTCCCTTTGATACATGGAGAGCTAATACTGTGGATGGACGAAATCCAAGTTGCACCACTTGGAAACCGTTGGAATCCAGTGTTTATTGGCATTTTTTAGGGGAATCACCAATCCAAGGTTTCTTAGGTGGTGCGAAATGGATTTCGTCCATCCACAGTATGCTTAAGCAACGGAAGATTGAGGTGTGCTGGCGTCTTCAAAATGAAGGTTCTGGTGGTCAACGCAAATATATGAGGCCCTGAAGCGGCGTAAGACGTAAGATCGTCAAAAAAACAAGGGAACCCTTGACATACTGTCTAGGTCCTCCAGTAGAGAGGCTAGAATAAGGGTACCCTTTTTTGTGTAGTCTATTTTCTCGCCCAAAAAAGGGTAAAAGGCAGTACTGGGGGATCTAGCTGTGGATGGACGAAATCCAATTCGCACCACTTTGAGACCATGGTTGAAACCCTTGCGTGTGGATATTTACCGGGGAATCGTCAGAAACCAGGGTTTCTCAGCTGGTGCCAAATGGAGTTCGTCCATGCACAGTATGGCCGTGAATGTTCACGTGAATGGACCCTTTGGTGGACATGGTGGCAGGCATGTCCATCTCCGAGGTGGTTCCATATAGCCACCAAGAACTGGGCTGTCCTTCCTCAGATCCTGCTAAAAGTTCGTCTTGTGGGTTTTCTGGAAAGCATCACAAAACCCTACAAGAACACCCAAGGAATCGGATAGGAAGCGCCAAGGGGCGGAAAAAAAATTCTGGCCACTTCTTCAGCGCCGGCAGAAGTGAACCGTTTCCAGGCTAGACCAACTTTATATGGCTTCCTTCTTGAACCCCGATTCGATAACGCCTTTGGGAAAGGAAAAAAAACAACGGGATACCAAGAAGGCAGGCCCCGTTGCGAGCGGGTGCGTTTTGCGTCTGGCACCCTTTTCTGGTGATTTGAGGCTACCACATGGGCTTGTCTCAAAATGGGGGGGCGGGGGGAACTCGCAAAAGGGTTGGTTTCCTTGTGGCTTGCTTTAAAACCAGCCAAGAACGACATACAGTATGGACCAGTAGGATCCATCAACTTTCAGACAAAGGACGGCACCTTTTGTGGGCGCATCGCCAGAAACTCCGTGAACCTACTGTGCAGGTGCGGTCTGCGAACCCCCACGTTTGTTTGGTTCGAAAGATGTCTAAATTGGTACAAAACGTAAACACTTTTATCTTCCAGGACCCTGGAAAAGCAGGTCTTTGGCCGAATCTCCATGAGCCAAGATCAAAATCAAGAAGGACCCTGGTTTTGCGGGTCCTTGGAAGACCAAGGACATGTTGCCAAGAGCGCAGTTCGAAAGATGTCTACGCTGGGCCCCCAACATAAACATGTTGGCAAAGGAGAGTTGAATCGATTGAATAACACAAGCATGTTGCTAGGGAGAGTTCATTCAAACGATGTCTAAACTGGTCGAATAACATACACATGTTGGTATAGGTGTTTCATTCAAACGACGTGTAAGCTGGGTCCCTGGACAAAACATGTTGGCAGATGTGTCTCATTCATTCGGTGTGTAAATCTCCATTTGCTTGAGCCCCCTGGAAAAAATACAAATATTTCCAGCAGTGATAGATTCCCTTTAAAACCAACAGGGGAAAATAAAACATATTAATTTCAGCAAATGGAAGTGAACTGGTGTTTGAAGCTGAAGGCAGAGGTGTGCAAACTGGTCGGAGTGAAACATTTTGGCAGAGGTGGGCACGGCTCTTAACTCGATCCATGTATCTTCAAATCCTCACTTCCCAAGTGGCACCCAAGAAGCGCGCCCCCAACATGTTTTTCTTTCCCACTGAGACTGGTCAAAGACTTCCGCTCAAGTCCGAAACGGGTTTTTGGGGACTCAGAATCCCTACCAGCCCCCGAAAAAACCCCACGCGAAGCCAGAAAAACCAAAAAACACAAATCCTTGGTCTTCCAAGGACCCGCAAAACCAGGGCCCTTCTTGATTTTGATCTTGGCTCATGGAGATTCGGCCAAAGGCACCTGCTTTTCCGTCCTGGAAGATCAAGGAACCCCCCACAACTCAAAAAACAACTCCTAAAACCCCAACACCAGACCCCCGAAACAGGGCCGCAGCCCGCAGCCGGCGCGGCGCCTTCTGAGAAAGCGCGTGGCGGAAGCCCAGCACGTGACTGCCCAGGGCGCTGCTGCCAAGACCGTGGCTGCTCTCTTTCGACACCTTCCGCCGCACAAAGGACAGGTCCTGGCGGATTTCTTTGGTCCCATTGGGCCTCATGAGGTACCACTCCTCTAGGGGGTGAGTCACCATTCACTCGCTTGCGAAATCTGCTCCCCTGCTAAAAGTTTAACTCTGAGTAGTTTGGTGGAAAACCCATGAGTTGGCAGAAAGTTAAAGTCCTAACAGCCAGGCAAAATGCCCCAAAGATTCTTTTTAGCCATCGTAGAATGATTTCTGGAAAGAATGGGGAAAGTACTCCTAGAACTATGGTCCAAGCCCAAAAAGTAACCAACGTCCATGAACCCAGGTGAGTCATAATCAAAACCCGGACTTATGGTCGACCCAATACCATGTAAAGAATTAAGAGGACGGATATCCGCAGCTATGTATGGCAAGGGGATTGTTCCTTCCCTTCACTTACCCGGGTTTTGAGTGTGACGCATGTCGGACTTGGCCACTTGCTTGAGGTACTGGGACTCTAGGCACTGGATCGAGTACTCCTTAAAAACCGGCACAGCTTCTGGGAAAAAAAAGAGAGGCAGCAACTGGCGATCCAGGCCCTCCAAACCATGGTCCGCATTTTGACGCACTTGAGTGCTGAAATGGCAGCCCCAAAAGCTTTTAAAGCCCACTCAGGAAGTGAGATGAGGTGCTTGGGTGTTCGATTCGCCAAGTTAGCCACCTGGCTTATAGCCCACTTATAGTGGGTTAACTCAGTCATTTGTGGGTTATAACCCAGGTGGCTAAACACTTGCTAACGTGGCAAATCGAACACCCAAGTAGGTTATAGCCTAGGTCTCTAACCACTTTCTAAGTTGGCCGTGCACCCAAGTACTGCGTTCAATACAAGTAAGGTTCTCTTTTTGAGGGTACCCCTTTGTTGATTGCTTTGACGGGAAACCAATAGGACAACCTACGTAGGACAACCAAAGGAAGGCCTGAACGCACGGCTGTGACTTAAATCGGGCCCGAATCGGGCAGTGAATGGCTTTTCTTAAGCCACGGGCAAAACGGGTACCCTCAAAAACAAAAAACATGAGGGAAGTTGGGATTCGGAGGCCTGAATGCCAGTGGCCCTGGCAACAAAGCCAAATCGCTCTTCGGGGGTGATCGTTCTACAGGCCAAAGAGGGCGGAAAAATGCAACTAGGTCCTCCAGTCCAGAGGTTAGAATAAGGGAGCCCTTTTTTTCTTCTGTAGTCTATCTTAGTAGGGCCAAGCGGGTAAAAGGGCACGGCCTAGGCAAACTTGCTGGCCCTTGTCGGACTCGGACGAGGATATAAGATTATCCTTTTGGAACCTTGACTAAAGATAGACGTCAGGGAAACCCAAAAGCAAAAGGTTGGCTTTGGGCAGGTGTCTAGGGCTTGATTCCTTGTCCATTCTTTTCAACCATAGTTCTTTTCAAAAACCAGCCGTTTTCCCTGGGTTTCTGGAGGTTTTCTAGAAAGAAGGATCCCTGGAAAGAATGGGAAAGGTATCCCTAGAAAGTGTGAACAAATGCCCAAAACACAGCCACAGCCACCAAACAAAAAGGCAAATATTCTGTGCACTAAGGCGACACAGCGAGCCCCAGCCTTTACCCCTGTGCTATGATTTCACGGATGTCCAAAAACAAGCCAGGACCTCCATTTGCTTAAGTCCCCTGGACAAAAATCCAGCAGTGAAAACGATTCCCTTTGAACCCGACGGGCGAAAATGACAAATATTCCTAAGCAAACGGAAGAGGATTGTCATGGGGGTCTTTAACAGGAAGCACAAGCTCCTGTTTGTCCTTCGCATTGGACCCTACGAAGGGTCGGTCTCAATCATTGACAGGTTTTGGACCGCGGCCGTTTTGAAGGCCAGGGAACATGACTCAGCTGTGTGACCAACTCGTATGGGTAACGACTGTCCTTAGCGATCGGAAACCGTTGACCGCGTTTGGGGCCCTCTGAGTGTGTTTTGCTTCGTTTCTGTTACTTCCATTTGGTTAAGACCCCCGGAGAAAAAAACATCCAGTAGTGATAAATTCGCTTTAAAACCAACAAGGGAAAATAATCAACATATTCTTAAGCAAATGGAAGGCTAAACACGAAGGGCTTATTGTTCAGAAGCAGTGAATCTGTTTCACAGCAGTCCCAAAAGAAAGCTCAAGAAAGCCGTGCAAGTGGAATGTGTGCCACTTGCACCAACAAGCTCAGAAACTGGGAAGACCCTTTAAAATGGTTGGTCATCCAAAATGAAAAAGTCGTGGACCCATTTTTATTGAAAGGGTCATGGAGACTCCAGGTGTGCCCTTTTTGGAGGGTACCCTCTTTTTGGTTGCGAAAAAGGAAAAGCAAAAGAATTGGGGCCGGAGTTTCTCATTTTGAGACACCCCCAGGTGGATTTGGGTCCCAAACCGGAGCTCCTGCGAGTGTCTGCCTATGTTCTCCCGATGAACGGGGCGGCTTACCGGGACGCCATTCTTGCGAAGCGCGGAGCCCATCATCCTCGGTTCTTGGAAGGCACGAGGCAGTTTGTTTGTTTTTTTCATGCAAAAGGCTCGCGTGCATTACCCGGTGAGTAACATACCCAAGCAATGGCTAAGTCTGGTGTTGGCACACACTCACTTCCGATCGAGTGGATGGGCCAAAGCAAGTAACCAGGGTTTGCCACTAAAACGGCCTTCCCATGTCTTCCCAAAAAGTTAAAGTCCATGAACTCTGGGAGTGACCACATTAGTTATAACCAAAACCGATCAGTATTAAAATGGTCCATGCCCAGAACCATGTTAAATAATTAACAACGCACCCGTCTTTGGTGGCACTATCACTTAACCTTCATCTGCCCAGGTTTCAACAAGTCGCTGACATGATATTACAAGCATAAAACCCTTGGGGAGAGGTTTGTGTAATGTGGTAACTGAGTAACATAACCAAAATGGACAGAACAAACAAGACAAACACTTTTTATCATGATGAAACTAGGTGTCCCCCGCCAGGTATATCCAAACAATATTTGCTATCTTGGTGAACATCAAAATAGGTGGCAAATGGAGGTTCATCCACCCCCAAAATGGGATCGCCATAGGTTATGCGTTTCCCATGGCCAAATGATCTTAAACAACAGGGATCCGGATGCATTATACACCTGAACATTGCAACTTGTCAATGGGGGATTCCCCTTGTTTTGGTGTTGAAAAAGCAACATGTTTCAAATGGTTGCAAAATGGAGATCTTTTAAGGAGCCCTGAACAACCACCCGAGAGGAGAAATCATTACTGGGAGCCCACCCCGGCCTGCGGCCGGGCGGATTCAACTCTGGATTCAGACTGGTGCGATCCCTCCTCCAGTGGGGAGGTTAGACTAAGGATACCTGGAATCTCCCTAAGGACCCTTTAAAATGGTTGGTCATTACCCAAAATTAAAGTGTTATGTTTTTTTTCCCTCTAGGGGTCATGGAGACTCCAGGTAACAACTTTTTTCTGTAGTCTATTTTAGTAGAAGGACAAAGGGCGCAAAAGGGCACTACTGGGGGACCTAGTATCCTAATTCGTTATCCTTCGTGGGACGGCACGATAAGGGCAACCACTACATACCATACCCTCATTGGTGGTTTGGGGAGTTCACGCCTTGTTCTTGTGGGAGGGTAAATGGGACACCGCCCAACTTCCAAATCAAACTAAACCACCAATGAGAGCGGACATGAAGAAAGATCAATCGACAGGTTGATTCCCCGTTCTCTTCACCCGTCGTGAAAGGTATGGCTAGAATTAAGGATTGCAGTTCGAGATGAGGGCATGTCCTTGAGGCTGTGTCGATTCGTGACCATTTCGACCACCATTCCCCTGTTCCCGGTTGAGCATCTTAGCCCAACAAAATCCTCTAGTTCCCTTTGCATCTCTACTGTTGGTATGGTAGCAAAACACTTTGTTTTTGCAGCCCCCCTGCAAAAATGAAAAGAACCAAAAAACAAAAACAAGCCACACACATGCAGTGAAGCTATAGTTTCCCTTTGGGTTACCCTGAAAAAAGCAACCCTAAGGGTACCGAGCTTCGCCAAAATACCACAACCAACTGGGTCCAGACCCACCGCTCCCCAGTTGCCAGTGGGATCCACTGTCCTCAAAGACTTAGCCTAAAGGCGATAGAAGGAAACCAGAATTGCAACCACTTGACCTCAGCCCAGGTGGGTTTCCATGGGAACAACAAATGGAACTCTTTTTTAGGCCGACTTTCAGGGACATACCGCATACCAGCTGAGCATCTTCATGGATTTCCTCAGTGCGGCGTCCATAGCACTACTCACGTAGCGCTCCATGTTGTCCATCGCCGCAGTGATTTCGTCCACCTCTCAGGCACCCAAAGGACATGTCCATCGGAAAACAAGGCGATCATGTTTTATTGTCCTCACTTCTGGCCGAGTGGACTGGCCAACAAAAAGTACCAACTAAAATGACCCAAACGTGGCCACTAAAATATGGACTACCAAATGACGACCAAATATAACTTTTGGAGTGCCACGAAAATGACCCAAGCCCCACATGTGACAAGTCCAAAACGGACCTCGAAAGGAACCCTCCGCAAAAAGGCCACCCCCTCCGCCGAAAATAAGGGAACCCCCTCAAAAAGGGAAATCCATCCAAAAGGGAGCCCCCTCAAAAAGGGAACCTCAAACACCCTCCAAAAAAGGAACCCAAGGGGAACCCCGTCAAAAAGAAACCCAAGGGGACTCCCCACCAAGAAAAGAGCAGGGGGAACCCCGTTAAAAAAGGAAACCCCTCACAAGGAGAGACCCCTCAAAAAGAGAAACCCCTGGAAGAGAAACCCCCTCAAGAAGGGAACCTCAGCTCCGCTTCCCCTTTCTGTGCGTGATGGCGCTTCAGCACTTCATCCTTTCGCTTCAGGAACGGCCTGAAGTCCCAATACCACAAACTACTGTGGATGGACGAAACTCCCAGCAAATGGATTGTCTTTCTTTCAGGGGCCCCAAAAATGGTGGGTGTCTTTGGTTGATTTCCTTTTCATACTGGACGGACGAAATCCATTTCGCACCACCGTTCAGAAGCAGTAGAATGATATGATCCCCTACGTAGATACCAACAAACGTTATGGGTTTCAGCCATGGTGTCTTGGGTGGTGCAGGATTTCGTCCATCCACAGTACTATCCTGGACATGAACAAGGACCCTTGTAAAATAGCGATCCATGTTCGGTCCTAAATTTCAATCACCCTATAAGGGTGGAACATGTTGAAAATAGCGATCGATGCTTAGGTCCTACAATTCAATATCACCTTATAAGGGTGGGACATGTGTAAAATAGCGATAGATGCTTAGGTCCTACATTTCAATATCACCCTATAAGGGTGGGACATGTTGTAAAATAGCGATCCATGTTTAGGTCCTACATATCAATGTCACCCTATAAGGGTGGGACATGTTGTAAAATTGCGATCCATGGTTAGGTCCTACATTTCAATATCACCCTATAAGGGTGGGATATGTTCTAAAATCGAGATCCATGTTTAGGTCCTACATATCAATATCACCCTATAAGGCTGGGACATGTTGTAACAAAGCGATTCATGTAGATAACTACATTTCAATATCACCCTATAAGGGTGGGACATGTTGTAAAATAGCCATCCGTGTTTAGGTCCTACACTTCAATATCAACCACAAAGGGTGGGATATGTTGAAAAATAGCGATCCCTGTTTAGGTCCTACATCCCAATATCACCCTATAAGGGTGGGAGATGTTGTAAAATTGCGATCCATGTTTAGGTCCTACATTTCAATATCACCCTATAAGGGTGGGACATGTTGTAACAAAGCGATTCATGTAGATAACTACATTTCAATATCACCCTATAAGGGTGGGACATGTTCTAAAACTGCGATCCGTGTTTAGGTCCTACACTTCAATATCAACCACAAAGGGTGGGATATGTTGAAAAATAGCGATCCCTGTTTAGGTCCTACATCCAAATATCACCCTATAAGGGTGGGAGATGTTGTAAAATAGCGATCCATGTTTAGGTCCTACATTTCAATATCACCCTATAAGGCTGGGACATGCTGTAAAATAGCGATCCATGTTTAGGTCCTACATATCAATATCAACCACAAAGGGTGGGACATGTTGTAAAATAGCGATCCATGTTTAGGTCCTACATATCAATATCACCCTATAAGGCTGGGACATGCTGTAAAATAGCGATCCATGTTTAGGTCCCACGTATCAATATCACCCTATAAGGGTGGGACATGTTGTATAATAGCGATCCATGTTTAGGTCCTCCATATCAATACCACCCTAGAAGGGTGGGACATGTTGTAAAACAGCGATCCATGTTTAGGTCCTACATTTCGATATCACCTTATGAGGGACATGATATAGAATAGCGATCCATGTTTAGGTCCTACATTTAATATCACTCTATAAGGGTGGTGGTTGGGGAAACGCAAAAATCCCTCAAACATCAAACCACCTCGAGGATATCTTTTGTCAAAAGGGCCAACACGGTGCTCCTAGCTAGCCAAGTTGCCGCTTTTTTCAGTCACTGTTGCTGGTTTTTGGGGTGAAGTGCATGGAGAAAAGCGATCGCAACTGGCGACACCAGGGAACGCTCCGAACAAACGTGCGAAAGGATTCTCATAAGCCCTCTTTGCAGCCCAATGGGGAAAACCGGTACCTTGGTCCTCTATTTGCGGAGAACGTCCCCTGGAAGCGATAAACATACGCGTGTGGCCAAGACTGAACAGCTGGAGTGACGCAGGTGTTGGTCTTTTGTCAAGGTCCTCCAGTGGAGAAGATAGAATAACTTGGTACCAACTCTTTTCTGTAGTCTAATTTAGTAGGGGAACCCTCCCAACCAACAAAGGGGTGAGAAAGGGCACCTAGCTGGGGGACCTAGTTGTTATACTAAGGCGCCATGTTGGGCAATTACCATGAGCCACAGTCATGTTTCCAGTGATACCCTTCAATGCCACTTTGCAACCCAGGGGGAGATAACCGATCTTCATCAAACATAAGTGGCTGATTCTGAAGCGTAACAATGAGCTGGGGCTCTTTGCCCCCATGAAAAATACTGACCTCGGGACCCAACTTGGATGATGAAGCTCCTGAAAGGTAGATAATCAACTTTAATAGTGGTATCTGAATGACACCAATATTTACATATGGTGAATCTGACATATTCATGGTATTCACAATGGGTCAATAATCTGACACATTCACCCAACCAATGATTCAATGGTGGCAACTGAACCCCAGGGCACGGGTCGCAGTAGGGGTTTTCTGCTGAGTGGCGAGCCGTTTTCTGCGCGACTCCATCGTCGAGAAAGGAACTCTGCGCGAAACGAATCAGCCGTCAGTAAGGGAAACTCACCTGCGCTGTCCTCAGCTCGCCTAAAAGCCAAACTGATCCCCGGCTATAAGCTCAGCATGTTCGCGGACGAAACCAACTAAAAACAACTAAAAACGGGGCTGTGGGAAATGACCACTTCTGTGATACAACAAAAAGGCGTCGCAAAGACTACCTTTCCACAGAAAGGAGGAGATTCCCTTGTATCACAGAAGTGGTAAAAACAACAACAAGCAACTGAAAACAACAAGAAGCAACTAAAAACAACAAGAAGCAACTAAAAACAACTAAAAACAACTAAAAACAACAAGAAGCAACTAAAAACAACTAAAAACAACAAGAAACAACAAGAAGCAACTAAAAACAACTAAGAAGCAACTAACAACAACTAAAAACAACAAGAAGCAACTAAAAACAACTAAAAACAACTAAAAACAACAAGAAGCAACTAAAAACAACTAAAAACAACAAGAAGCAACTAAAAACAACTAAAAACAACTAAAAACAACAAGAAGCAACTAAAAACAACTAAAAACAACAAGAAGCAACTAAAAACAACTAAAAACAACTAAAAACAACAAGAAGCAACTAAAAACAACTAAAAACAACAAGAAGCAACTAAAAACAACTAAAAACAACTAAAAACAACAAGAAGCAACTAAAAACAACTAAAAACAACAAGAAGCAACTAAAAACAACTAAAAACAACTAAAAACAACAAGAAGCAACTAAAAACAACTAAAAACAACAAGAAGCAACTAAAAACAACTAAAAACAACTAAAAACAACAAGAAGCAACTAAAAACAACTAAAAACAACAAGAAGCAACTAAAAACAACTAAAAAACAACTAAAAACAACAAGAAGCAACTAAAAACAACTAAAAACAACTAAAAACAACTAAAAACAACTAAAAACAACTAAAAACAACAAGAAGCAACTAAAACAACTAAAAACAACAAGAAGAAGCAACTAAAAACAACTACAACACAACTAAAAACAACAAGAAGCAACTAAAAACAACTAAAAACAAAAAACAACAAGAAGCAACTAAACACAACTAAAAACAACAAGAAGCAACTAAAAACAACTAAAAACAACTAAAAACAACAAGAAGCAACTAAAAACAACTAAAAACAACTAAAAACAACAAGAAGCAACTAAAAACAACTAAAAACAACTAAAAACAACAAGAAACAAGCCACCAAAGGAACCGGATGTCTACCCAAGCAGGTTCTCAGAGAATCAGGGAATGCGTCCGGTTCAGCCCGAAACCCCCAGATTCCCTACTACCAGCAAGATATGGCAACATATACGGAACTCATGTCAACAACAACAACAACACTTCAGCCATCACGTTTTTGGCATTTCAAACTCGAGAATCCCGTTTTGTTCTGCAGAAATAGCAAAACAAAAGAAGACAGGTAGCCTCAAATAACACATACCCACATGGGACAATTCAGCTTACCCAGGAAACTTCCGCTTCTTAAGCAAATAGTGGTTCAGAGATTAGGGCGGTTAGGGTCCTCTACTCACCTCCAAATCCAAACCAACAATCCAAACCAGTTCAGAGTGACCTGAAAAAAATGGTAACAGGAAACCAGTTTGACCTGAAACAAATGGTAACAGGAAATTTTTAGCCATGCAAAAGCGTCATTTTCGGAGTGGGCGCCTGAACCCCGGCCCGTGAGCTGAAAACCCAGCGACTCGACGCTCGCATTCGACGCTCGCATTCGACGCTCGCCTCCTCGCTGGCGCAGATCTTCTTGGAGGCGTGGGGCTGTTCGACGCCTTCCTCCGCCGGGACCTGGCCGTTTTCACGAGGGCTGATGGCTCCGAAGCCCAGCATCTAGGGGGAACATATACATACATATATACATATATATATATATTTATTTATTCATTTATGTATTTTATTGTTTTATTTGTTGACTTATGTATTAATATATCTATTTATATCTATATAATATGCACATAATATACATTATATATATACATGCAAAGAAGAACAATCATAATTTCACGGATTTTACGGTACTCTGGGGTGATGTCGGCCTCTTTTTCAGACACCCCCACATGAAACGCGCATTTCAAGTCAATGCGCCTGGATGAAGGCGCGCAATAGAGAGCGTTTTGCGTGGGAAGGCAAGACTCAGATGCCCAGTGGAGTTCCATGGAAAGAGAGGGCTTCCTTTTTGGTGGTTGACTTTAAAAGGGAACGCTTCCCAAAAAGGGCATCCGATTTTTTTCTGGGTTGGCTGACTTTAACAGGAACCCTTCCCAAAAACAAGGCGAAAAAAGGAAGCACGCGAAAATTACATGAACTGGGTCAGCTCTGGTTCAGTCAGGTCCAAAACACTTGAACTGGTGATCTGGAAATTGCTCCAGAATTTTTAGTTCATGGCAAGATCAGCTCTGCTCGATTTTCGCTTTAAGTTCCTCCATTTGCTTAAGTCTCTTGGAAAATACAAATCCAGTCGTGACAGATTCCCTTTAAAACCAACAACAAAAACTTAACCAAACCGAAGAGGATGAAATGGGGGGGGTCTTTACCTAATGTAGTAGTTTTTTTTGTTCCTTCATATTTTTCGGTTGAACCAATTATTCCCCCCCTAGGTAACAGTCAGCCCCAGGGTCCCACTTTTTCGAGTATTTCAATATAGACTTAAACCCAGGGGTTCCCCTTTTCGGGGTACTGGAGCCACTTTTTGGTTCAAGTCTACCTGGAGCCTCCCTAACCCGAAATAAAAATGGGTCAACGACCCCATTATTTTGGGTCATGACCAACCATTTTCAAGGATCCTTACATTATACACCTGAACATTGCAACTTGTAAATGGTGGCTTCCCTGTATTTTGGTGTTGAAAAAGCAACATGTTCCAAATGGTGGCAAAATGGAGATCTTTTCAGGAGCCCTGAAATTTTTCCAGGGTCCTTAGGCAACCCCAGGTAGCCTGCCGTCAAGTGGAGCCCTGGCCGTCAAAAAGTGGCGCCCTCCGAGATCCGAGGCCTGCGGCTCCAAGGAAAGCTGCGGCCTGGCCGCTCCGTCGAATCCGGCGAAGCGAGGTCGAAGCCGACGGGCATCGAGCGATGCGCATGGCCGCCGGGGTCGTGTTTTTTTTGTTTTTTCCTCGTTTTTTGTATTTCTTCTTTGTTTTTCTCTCTTTTTGTCCTCCAGTTGCTGATTGAATGTCCCCTGGACAAAAAAAAAGAAAGAACACGATTTCCAGTAGTGATGGATTCCTTTCAAAATCAACAGGGGAAAAAGATAACGATTTCCAGTAGTGATAGATTCAAGCGAAAACCAACAGGAGAAAAATACATAACATATTCTTAAGCAAACGGAGGTGTTGGTTTCCCATCTAAAAACAAAGCAAAAAAGGGGCACCCTCAGAAAGAAAGAACAAACACAAATTTGTGAACCAACACCTTGGGGGCAACTCCCTGAAAGGGAACCATCTTATCAACTCATCGGAGTGGATGGGCCAAACTCTTTGTGTCCCACTCAAATGATGTCCAAGCACCCAACAACGATCGGACGTGAGTCAAGGGACAAAACACAATTTGGGGGATCGCTTTTGTTTATGAGAATCAATATCTCTGTTTTTGTATGTGTGTGTATTGGAACGGTTTGTTTTTGCTGAATGGTCCCGGATCACTGTCTTGTGGCAACATCGTCGGGCATTCCTGCTGCTTTGTCTCAAACCAGGAAATGGACCCCCAACATCGAGGACCGTGTCTTGTTGTTTTGTTTTCAAGCCAACCACAGGGGTTGGTAACAAACGACGCCCACTCCGGTGCTTCTGCACATCGCCCTCCCAGGTAGCTCCCTTTGAATTGAACCCCAAAGGTCATGTCTACAAAATGCAAGCAGAGATAAGGTCTGTGCGCTGCAAGCTGTGTGAAACACAAAATGGCTGGTGCGCAACCATAACGAAAAGTCAGAGCCCATGAACTTAGGGAAGTAAGCCTATTGCTTGCTCAAAGCCCCCAGAGTTCCATGGCAACAAGCTCCCAGTCTCTCTGTGTTCGTTCTTGAAAGGAACCTACCACCTTGGTTGCTTTGTGCTCCCCTTCTTAAAGTGTTTTTTTTTGTGGTTTAATTCGAAAAACCCATTAGTTGGCAAAAAGGTAAAGTCTTAACATCCCTTGGCAAATTACCAAAGAAAAAGTCTGGGGAAAGCAACAAGACTTGGTTGACGTTGGAAGGGGAGCAAACATTTAAATTTTAGCAGTTAATTGGTTGGATTTCAACCACTAAACCACAATAAGCAAAAATGTAAATTGTTTTCCAACAACATGAAGAACCCAAGCCCAGAAGCTCTCAGCTGGACCTCGCAGGGAGGACTCGTGCTGAAAAGAAGGCGCTGAACCAAACATGTCCATTGCTTCCGATCCAGTGGACTGGTGAGATGTTTTTTTGTTTAACAAAGTTGCGGTAAACAAAAAGTTTGGCGTCTTTCTTTTTGTCCAGGGCTAAAGTCCGTGAACTCGATCGGAAGTGAGTTGTCCCAATGGACCTTTCGATCAACACCCGTTTACCTGTGTAGTAGGCAACGCTGGGAACCACCCGAGAACAACACAAAATGGGAAATGGCAAAGGGTTGCCTACTGCGAGGGTACCTGGTATCTAGTGGGAAACGGATCTTTGGGTTGGAAGATGCGGGTTGGGATTCAGCTCGGAGCCCTAAGTCCAGCTTGTAAAACATGGCAACTCCATGTGGTGGGCGAGCCAGGTTTGTCACTTCTGGCGTGTTGCCATTGTTGGACACAAACCCTGGGGGATAGTTGAATTGTTTGAGAAAGGCACCTCTGGTTGTAAGTGTCGCTTGGGGAAACCAACATTGATTCTGTGGAAAGTAGAATGCCCATCCCAAATCATACTAATTCACCCACTAGGAGACAAGCCTTCATCAAGTCACTGTTGGCAACCAAAGGCGATGTTTGCTTGGGCTGTCCTCAGATTTTTTGGACAACGGGAGTAACTTGCGGGCTCTTTGTTTTGGAAATCCGACCACTGAAGCAACTAAAAACCAAACACATTAACAAACGGAGCTGGACGACCGGGAACCAAGTGAAAAACCGCCCCCCCCCCCTCCCCCCACCCGGACACCCTGAGATGCCCAGTGGATGTCCATGGGGAAAAAAGGGCATGCATCATCCTTTGTTGGTTGGTTGACTTTAAAGGAATCAGAACCCTTCCCCGCAAAAAAAAGGCAACGACACTTGGGCGCCCCTGCTTGGTTGTTTTGCCCAGTTAATAAGCGGTTAGCCACCTTGGTTATGACCCACAAATGACCGCGTTCACCCCACTATAAGTGCGTCATAACCCAGGTGGCGTTGCCCACTTACTAACTTGGCGAATCGAACACCCAAGTGGGCCACCAAGGACTTTAAAGGGGAACCCACCCCTGAACCACCCCCTGAACCACCCCCTGAACCACCCCCTGAACCACCCCCTGAACCCACCCGAACCCCACCCCATCCGCCTGGCCAAGCCCGGCAGCAGGATGCCGGACACATCCGAGGCCGTCGAGAAATTCGAGGGCCGCGAGGGGACCTCCTCCTCTGGCACCCCGGGCGAGCGTCGCCGGTCCTAGGCTTTTTTAGGGAAACCCGTTCTTACTTGGTTTCGAGAGGAAACTGAAAGGACAATCACCTCTGTTTAGGGGGGTCCACCAAAAACACGACACGCAAATACCAAGGTAGTGCAACATTGAGGGTCAATGTCAGGAATTTTTGTTGGGGGTCGTGGGCCCATTTTTAAAGGGTCCTTAGGGAGACTCCAGGCACTCAGCAAGTAAACCTTTGATTTGCGCTTTTGGGCATTCTTCAAAGCTTCCCTGGGTTTGAAGGGTTAAAGGCGGCAATTTTTCGTAGGTTCAGCTATGTTCAGCTATGTTCAGCTATGTTGGGTGGGTTTCATGGAATTTATAGTCTGCCCATCAAAAAATACATCTGGCTGCTGTAAGAGAAAAAAACAGGTTCAGCTGGTGTGGGGTTTGGGACTTATAAAGATTAGAATGCATTAAGTTTGCAATCTTCCTACAGTTGGGTGTCTTAATCTCTACCGAAAGGAGAGTTTGAGGCTCAAGGTCCTTGGCAATTTGAGGTACCCTCCCAGATCCTCCCACCGTTTTCGACATGGAACCTGACATTCGGGGGGTCCTGGTTTGTACCATTTTCCTTTTACTGGGACCAGGTCCCTGGTCCCATGATGATTGGTGGTGGGAGGGTAATTCAGCTACTTACCTGGTTTCATGGGATTCATAGTGCTGGCTATAAACAAACTTTTGGGTGCTGTGACATAGGAATCGTCCTACAGTTGGGTGCTTTAAACCCTTCTTCAGCCATAGCGAAAATGGGATCTCCACGGCTCGAATCCCTCCCCCAATACCATTTCTAAGGTGTGGGTGTGCCTTGTAGGAAAGAAACAACACCCCATGAGTGGATCAGGCTTGGCGCGGCCGGACATTCTGTGATACAAAGCGCCTTCGCTCATATGTTGTTGCATTTGTCTACAATATGTCCAACACCTGAAAAATGGAATCCCCAGGTAAAGGATTTTATCATGGCTTCCGCTCATTCTACCGCCGGATCGGCCGTTTCCTGGCAAGAAGGATCCCTCAAAAGAACAAGGAAGCTAATTCTGGACTTGATGAAATACGTGGTTGAGAGGGAACTACTTCCCTGCAATTCAACGGAAGGAACCCGAACATGGGGTCTATTCCCAACAAAAGGAGACACTTATTCTAAAATGGTGGATTTTGTTGGGTTCCTTCCCTTGCACTGTTGGAAGCTCGCCCCAACCAACCAGTTGAATCCAGGGGGTTGAACTTCAAGATCAAGCTGGGCGCCAGAGTACTCATCCGCCAAATCTTTATCCAGTATGTGTACCCTCCAGCCAATTAACATGGAACTTGACGGGGGTCTCTTTGAGAGGACAATGTCAGGTTCCATGTTAATTGGTGGGAGGGTATTGATTTGAATTTTTATAGTAACCTAAAGGAGGGACCTCTAAGTGGAAGCAACTGGTTTGGGTTCTAGTGGAAGCAGATGGTATGAGTCCACCAAAAAACACGGGGGCAGAATCGCAAGAGCGGAAAACGGCTCACACACACACAATCGATGTCTGGGACGGCCCAAAACCAACCTTGACTCACCGAGTTGATTGCGGCCCAACTCATCCCGAAACTCAGTTAGATGCAAGCGCCACCTGGGTTGGTCTCAACATAGAAATCGGAAGACCAAACATGGATTACCATTGGTTTCCCTTAACTTGGCTGTCCGTTTCCGGATCCCCTACTAGAAGTGAACAAGTTTTAGTGGGTTGAATGGACACCCAACCACTAAACCAACTAGAAACACCTAAAAGGCTAAGGGGATGGAAACCGCCAAGTCAAAAGCAACCCAAACTGGGTATAAAGGCCAAGCGCAAAACCTGCGGATCTGAGGGATGACTCGTAACGTCCAAACTTGTCCTGGCACTAAATTTGCTGGTGGCAGCAGGGAGAATGTGGGAATGAGCCTACTGTGGATGGACGAAATCCATTTCGCACCACTTTGAAACCATGGTTGAAACATAATTTGTCGGTATTTACAGGAGAATCATCATTCCAGGATTTTTTAGGTGGTGCAAGATGTTGTCCTTCCACAGCAGGGATTCCCTTAAAGGAGCCACAAGGGATGGTTGGCTAAGGTCATTCCCTCATTCCCTGCTGAGCACCAGCAAGTACAGTCGTCCCCAGAAGTGACTTATGAGATTCTTCATTTTGTGGCTTGGTTTTGTGGTTTGGTGGCTAGGGAATCCATAATCCAAATCGCCAATCAGGGTCAATCTGAACTGAGGTCTAGGAACTCGAGGAGTGAAAAAATAAACAAGAGAGCAATCAGGTCCATCAAGACCGATGTGTTTCACGCATATACGAGACGGTATGTCATCAGCAAACAAACTGTCGCCGCAGCCGCAAAAGAACCAAATGAACAGAATCAATCAATCAATCAATCAGACACTCTTTCACAGTCCCAACTACACATGTTCAGACCAACAAGCTCACTTAGCTTGCATCCCTGATTGTAAATGAGAGGTGCCAACAAGCAAACACTAGCAAACACATTGCCTTTGATGCATAGCAATTCATAGAGCCAAGCAGCCAACAAGCGCGCATGGCTTGCACCCTGGTGCATTGCTTGCGGGTGCTTTAGGGAGGACAAAAAGGGGCAAACTCAACGAGAACCACAAAAAAGAGGCGGTTGCATCCCAATTTACGCATGTGGTGCAAATGATATCCTCTGGTCCTATGAGGACCTGCGATGTCTTTGGTTGATCAGGGATCCGGATGCATGAAAAACACCGATCGAACATTCCAACTTGTAAATGGTGGTGTCCAACTTTATTTTGGGGTTGAAAAAGCAACATGTTTCAAATGGTTGCAACATGGAGATCCTTTAAGGAGCCCTGTTGATGGTAATATTATTTTGGGCTGCATCCACTAAGTGCGCATGTTCCTGGTCGGAGGGGCCTTGTGTGAAAACCCACCGTCGCACCTGGCATGTCCAAGCCACTTAGCAAGCAGGTTGTAAGCATGGTAAAAGGGAACTCAAATCTGCTATCCCAGTTATAACCATGCTTAGAAACCTGCTAAATGGGTTGAACATCCAATTCATGTCCAAGTTTTTCGGAGTAGCTTTTCTCGGTCCTCTGACATGGTCACCGTTAGCTTCCCTTTAATTTCCGTTAACACAACTTGTTTTGAGAAACACCATGGCATGGTCGCGAACTGGGGGAAACCCACAGAGTGGTGTCCTGGTGCTCCAGGAATTGGATAGAAAGCTGCTTGGTCCCTTTGGTCTCCCTGTTCCTGGACCCCAAAGAACTACACCCAAAAAAGGGAAGCCGCCCACCAAATTTGTGGGTTGCAGTAACCCATTAAGCTTCTCTACTCTTGGTATGGGCTGGCAAAAAGCTTCTTTTTTTTTGCAGCCTCTCCTGTAAAAATAAACAGAACCAACCAACAAAAAAACATGCCAAGAGCAGCGAAGTAAAGACCCAAGACGGCTTTTCAGTACCCCCCAACACCCCATTCAAATTTGGCTGGCGCTGAAATTGCTTGGACCCTGTGAGAGTGTGCGGGTCTGAGGGTTTGAGGGTCTGAGGGCTAGGACTCGACATGTAGACACCCTTCATCTTGGTTGCTGCAACGACCCCCCCGCAAAAAGTTCGACTTTTTTGGGGGGCTTGGTGGAAAAAACACCTTTCCTTTCCACAAAGTTAAAGTCTAAAGATCCAACCCAATAGCAATCAAGTCATGTTGACCCCGCCAGGGCTCGCTGCCGGCGCTGAGGGGAACCGAGCGCGAGGCGGGGTCATTCGGCTCAGCTAGGATCAGGGGATCGTTCATCTGGTCCTCGGGGCGAATCGCCGGGAAAAGAACAACGTGAACATGCTTGATGAGCCGGGAGCATGCTCAACCATGTGGTCATGGTCACCGGGAAACAAAGAAATTCGAAAAACTAGTCACCGGGAAACTAGACTTGCTAATTGATTGCTATGCAAAACCCAGAAAAACGTCATCTGGGCACCGGGAACAAAAAACGACATGCTAGAGTGAACAACTTTTAGTGGATCAAATGGAAACTACCACTCACTCAAAGGCTAAATAGCTAAGGAATCGGATGGCTGGGAGCCACCAAGTTTGTGGTTTTAAGACTTGGTCCTCCAGTGAGAGAATAGAATAAGTTGGTACCCAACATTTTGTTCTGTCTATTTTAGTGGGGGAACCCTCCCCAAAAAAAGGAAACGCTGAAAGGGCACCTAGCTGGGGGACCTAGCCAAGATCCCAGGTGGGGGAAGCCAACTTTTTGCGGGGGGGTCGGTTAAAAATGACACACCCACTTGGATGTTCAACCCATTTGCCCTCCCACCCGTTTCACATGGAACCTGACAGGGGGAAGACAATTTAAAGGGTTCCCTGTCAGGTTCCATATTAATTGGTGTGAGGGTAGTATTGGATGGCCAAGCATGTTCAACCATGTACAAGCATCATAGCTTTGGATAAATGGAACCCAAAGGGAAACAACCCATTTTGGGGTAACCCCAAGATAAACCGAAACCCAGGGGTTCCCCCCTTTTGGCGGTCATGAACCACCCCTGGGTTTCAGTCTACTTTGCGTTAGCACACATTTGGAAAATTCAACCTGGAAACGGGCGGGAAACCTGGTCGTTACTCACAAAAAGGCAGGGGCATCGTTACCTTTTGAGCTAGGGGAACATTCGCTGCCAGTTAGGTCCACAGCTGTGACAACCGACATCCGACTGATTTCGTGGACAGACAGCAGATCAAACGAGGCACACCGAAAGTAATGGTCAAACTAATTAGCATCAAATGGCTGATCAGGAATACATGGACACCAAAAGGCTCCCAACACCGAAGACATTTTGGGGATTTTTGGGGTGTCCGATTCCTGCAAAAAGACGATCCACCCATACAAGTTACGATAATTCAAGAGTGAATTGGGCATTGCTTCGAAGAGCAAGCCTTACTAAGCGGGCGACGTATTTTGCAACTACTACTATTATTACTCACTACCACTACCACTACTTCTACTATTACTACTACTACTACTACTACTACTACTACTACTACTACTACGACTACTACTACTCCGACTCCTACTCCGACGCCTACTCCTACTCCTACTCCTACTCCTACTGCTTCTGCTGCTGCTAAAACTACTCCTACTGATAAGAGATATTGAATAATTCTTGACAACAAAAACAATAACAATGATAATCAGCATCTAAACCATCCTGACAAACTGGCCCTCCAATTCATCCCCCCCCCGTGAATTTTCCGAGCTCCCTTCAGCCCGGCGGCGATTCTCTCTGCCATGTCCTCCATCCTGGTCACCAGGGCGGTGAAGTAGTCCTGCGATCCGGTCGAAAACCGCGAGTTGCGCACGGCGAGATTCGAACGGACAGGGCGTGCGCTTTTTGAGGGGACCCTCTTTAAGGCTGCCTCGGTTTTGTTGAGGGGGCCCTTTTTAAGGCTGCTTGAAGGGTGGTTTTGTTGAGGGTGCCCTCTTTAAGGCTGCCTTAAGGCTGCGGTTTTGCTGCGGGTGCCTCTTTTTCGGCTACCTTAAAGGGAGATCAAGCAACAACCAAATCCAGTCTTGGGGGTTCTGTATTTTGTCAAAAACTAAAAAGAGCAAGGTCTCAAATAAATGACATGTAAGTCCAACAGGACATATTAAACACAGTGGGGTTTTGCGAGGGATTTAGTGAGTCCCTCTTCTATGAGGAAAGGGGCACTCATAGGAGGGGCACCCATGTTTGCAGGGAGAATTGTAGGGATCATTCACAATACTTTAACTTGATTCAAAATCATTCGAACTGTTTTGAGGCGAATTTGGGACACATTGCGGTCGAATTGCGGCTGATGTCCAAAATAATGCCGAGGTGTCAACTGCCAGGAGCAAACAATTAAATGGCTACCACCAGCCAAGCAAAAAGCCAGCCAGCCAGCCAGCCAGCCAGCCAGCCAACCAATTTAGCCGACCAAAGGGACTGCAAACAAAGCAAAAGCAGCCTGCCCCTTTGTTTTGGGTTGCAATATCTCCAACGTAGCCGTTGAAACACTATGTGTTGGTTTGATGTTGAACGTTTGGATCTTTGTCGGCATTTGTGCTGGCATGTTCTTGAACGTGATTGAATTGTTCGGCATCAGATTGAGATTATGTCTTTGATTTGTTTCCAATGTTGTTGGTTTGCTCGGCCTTTGTTCGAATGTGTTGGAATAGATGTTGTTGGGGTATGATGTTGAACGCCGGCGGCACTGTTTCCGCTTGTGGACTACCCCACGGTGGAAAAAACAGGGTGGTTGATGTTCCCAAGGCAACCCTGTCACGACTCCACTTACCGCAACGATGAATCGGGGTACCTTCCCCATTCTTTCCAGGGATCCTTCTTTCTAGAAAACCTCCGCCCGGGGAAGCTCACGGAAAACGGCTCCGTTTTTTGAATAGAACCGATGGGTTGAAAAAGGAATCAACCCCTAGAATTCACCCGGAAAGCCAACTTTCAAGTTCAAAGAATGGCTGCGGCTGGTTTTTGGGGACCCTGGTGTCCCTTCACGTCCAAAAGAAAGTGCCCAAAAGAAAACTCACTTCCCAAGTGGATGGGAAGTAAACAAAGTCCGAACCTTTTATTTACCGCAAAGCTGGTGTTCCAAAAAGTTAAAAGTCCAGAAACTCAGGGAGTGAGAAACAGACACAGCCAAACGAATGGTTGCAAAGCGTCCTGAGTCGTGTAGTCTTCGAGCTTTCCGCACCCTTCAATGCAAAATGGACTTCCCAAAAGGTAGAAAGGCTCCTCGGGCCACATGACCACAGCATCCGCAAAGCCAAAAGTCTAGGAACTTGGTGAGTGAGTCCTGTACTTTAATTCACAAACAGAACCCTTCCCCCTCTCCCCCCTTAGCCCGGCCACCCCCGCTCCTGGAACATGATCTGCAAATCCTCCTGCTGCTGCATAGTGCGCCTCGGGTTCCGGAAAGTGACGTCACTCGGCTGCTGCTGAAGCGGACCCCCCCGAGCTTACATTGTCGTTCCTTGATGCCTGGCCTGTTCTTCCAAGAGCTTTTGGTGGGCTAAGAGCAATTGTTTTTCCAATAACTATTGTTTTTCCTTGATCCCGGTCATCATCAATCTTTCACCCAAGTCTAAGAGCTGTTCTGGCTGGGGACTGAACTGCCAGATGAGTTTTCGCCCCACCACACAGGGAGGTGAAGACTACACCGTGAGCTTTCAGCTGTTAGGGGAAAAAATGGCAGTGGGTCAAAAATGGGTACCCAAAATGGAACCCTGGTAAGTGGAAAGATGGACTAAAACCTGCCTGCGGTCCCCTGGTGGTTTAATTTTGACCCATACCCATATGGGGATGGAGTGTCCCTCTTTGGCCTTCCTGAAAAAAAGTACAACTCTCTTACCTTCCGTTTTCTGGTGTGGTAGCAAACAACTGACGGTTTTTTGCAGCCCAGTAAAAGTGAACAGAAACAAACAACCAAACAACCAACAAACATGACAGTAAACTGTGAATTTTGTAAAACGCGCCCGGAAACTAACCCGAAAGACCCACCCCCCCCCCCCCCCCATTTTTTTCCATTAAAGAGCGGAATTTGAGCACCGATCTATGGTCGAGACTGTCACCCGCTAAACTTGACACCAGGCAATTATTGCTCTGTGGAAAGCAGGAATTCGAAAGACTGCCTCAAGTCGACCGCAAGGTAATGCATTTGATGGGAATCCGGGCAATTTCTAGGGGCACCTTTCCCATTCTTTCCGGATCCTTCTTTCTAGAAAACCTCCGGAACCCCAAGAAAACGGATCCGGTTTTGATAGAAGCCCTTAGACAATTAATATACCCTCTACACTCTCAAACGCTGCGCAGGGCTTCTAAGACCGGACTGGCAGAAGTAACAAAAATGACCACTGCAGCGGGAAACCAAGGAAAACCGAGTCCACGTATAGTCACGTATGGGTGCGCTTTTTTTCACTGACCCCAAATGGTGGACACAAAAAGACATCCCCAAGGGAAAACCGAGTCCACGTATGGGTGCGTGTGTTTTTTCATTGACCCAAATGGTATCACATGGTGGACAAAGACACCCCGTGGATATATGTATGTCCGCTGTGGTAGCCATATGTTCGAGCCAGAAATTGATGGTCATCTGAAGGCTCGAAACAGCCCTGAGGGAAACGCGAAACCCGAAACCGTGAGCTTTCCCTGGCTGAAAGCACATACTTGCCTGGACTGGCCAAAATTAGTATCATTATTTTTGGTGTAACGCATGGTCCAAACCCAAAAGGGACTCAAGTCCATGAACCCAGGGAAATAACCGCGAAACAAGTATAATGTTGACCCCCATATTCGTCAACCCCAGTCTAGATATGTAGGGGTGTTCCCCTCCAAAAGTGGTCTGATTCCCCACTAAAACCCAGAATCGGAGAAGCACTCCCCGTTAAATAACAACTGGTTGGTTGATTTTTCTATGGGGTCAACACTAACTCCCAAACCTCCTCTATCCACAAGAGCTGCTTGAAACAAGTTGCTCGTATGATGCGTATATACATAATATATATATATATATATATACACATGATATACACGTATAACCCCGACAACTGTACCAACTCTACGTTGCTTCGGAGCGTCTGCAGGTTGTACTTGATGAATCGCGGCGCCGTCTTCGAGTCGTGCACCCAGCGGCTCAAAGGCGCGATGAACTCCGGCGCGCTGATGAAGCCTGGATCGGGCCACCGAAACGGGCGAAAGGACACCGCGGAATGGGACAAAAGGACCGAAACGGGGCGATAGGTAGGGGGCTGGAGATTTGGGGTGTTTTGAAGAGAAACCAAACGGAAAGCCTGCTGTTTCTGATAGTTGTTTGCTCCTTCTTTTTTTTTGTGGGGGGGGGGGGGTACACTAAACATTTTTTGCGATCGGTGCGATAGGTAGGGAATGAGAAATGGAATGACTCCGAGAAAAACAATCCAACTGTCATTTCCCTTTTTGAGGGAATCCAGGTTCATTCCCCATCTACTGCACCAGCAAAAGAACGACCAAGTTAGTGGGTGAGTAAAGTGGTTTTAACCTAATTAGAAGCGCTTCAAGTGCAAGTTCTGGTAAATTAAACAGATAGGGGTTTTTAAAGTGGTTTTGACCTACTGCCAAGTCCTCCAAGTGTAGTTGGCCTGGTTCTAAGGCGGGTTGCAAGCAAGGCAAGCAACCAGCTACTAATTTGGCCGAGAAAAGCATGCGAATGCACACATAGAATGGGGGACAAGAGTTTGGACTTTAGAATGCACACCTATGGGTGTCCATTCCAGATCATGCTTAGGTTGTACGTGTTCCAATGGGACAAAGAGCCACACATAATTCATATGGTTCGCCAGGCCAGCAAGGCGCCCGTACACGCACACCATACACTTCGGCGCTCTTTTCCTTGTTGACACATACCGCCTTTAAAGGACCTGGCACAGGTCAGCCTGTTTGGAACTGAATGAAAGAAATGCTGCCATGCTTTGAGCCCCTACTTCCTTTACGGACTTTGGGTTCTACAATGGTCATACAGGTTTATATGGCCATGGGTCAAAAGCCCGTACCCCCAGTGAACATCCCAATCCCCACTAAAATAGACCATCATGGGTGGTGCACCTACCCCAAAACTGGTACCATTGTTTTTGACCCAAAAACAAAAATATTTTTCCAGTAGTGATAGATTCCCTAGTAGAGAGGTTAGAAAACGGGTACCCTGTTTTTCTGTGGTCTTTTTTGATAGGGGGAAGCCTCCCCCAAAAAAAGGGGTAAAAGGGCACTACTGGGGGGAGCTAGAAAAGATTAGCTCGGTTTTGGGCAAGTTAGTAGTCGATTCACCTTCTGCTTGGTGCAAAGCTATGAAAGCTGTCATTTTGCAAAGTGATTCGGTCGATGCGGTTCTTTGAAAGTGCCCGCCGGAAGTCCGGATCCGCGATACGGAAACTTCTCTACTCTTGGTATGGTAGTAAGAAAGCTTTGTTCTTTCCAGCCCCCCAATAAAAACGAACAGAACCAAACAAAAACATGCCAGGAACAGTGAAGCTTTCGTTTCCCTTTGGGTTACCGAGCCTCTAGGGAAGCAACTCTAAGGGTACCGAGCCTCGCTAACATACCACAACCAACTGGGTCCAAACATGCCAAGAACAGTGAAGCCTTCTCTGGTCGTGTCGATCATCTGGAACAGCTGCTGCAGGTCGCTCTCGTCAATGTCCATCACCTTCGGAGGAGAACCTATCTGCTGAAGGGGAGAACCCCACCTTTCATGACTGCGTTCGGCGTTTTAAGCTGGTCGAAAGGACAAATTGTAGGAACACGAAAAAGGCAAACCGTCAAAAAGGTACCCTCCCATCCACAAACATAGAACCTCACGTGGGCAAGATCGACATTTGGTTTGTGGGTTCCATGATAGTGGACCCAAGAGTAAGTCAAGCTGGCGATTTTCTTTGGGGGTTTCTGTTCCTTCCATTGGAATGCCGACCACTTCCTCTCGTAAAGCTTTTTCTCCTAGGACGCTCCACTCCCGGCCCCGCCTCCTCCCTCGCCGCCAACCAAAAAAACAAACTACAAGCATGGAGCCTATGTTGAGCCGTATCTTTTTACTGGGGTGACTTAGGGTGCCCCCCGCTTCATCGGGGGTGGGGGGGGGAGTCTTGAGTCCGCGATCGCCTCCAGATCCAAAAAGCCAACCTTCCAACCTCTTGGATGGTCCATCTTTCGTCAAGGCCCGGAAATTCAAAGCATCTGTACTCTTGGTATGGGCTGGCAAAAATTGACTGTGTTTTGCAGACCACCAGTAAAAATGAACAGAACCAAAAAACTAACAAAACAAAAAACATGCCAAGAACAGCGAAGGAAAGGCTTGCCTTTTACTTCTAGGTCCTCCAGTAGAGAGGCTTGAATAAGGGCACCCTTTCTTCTGTAGTCTATTTTAGGGGAACCCTCCCGCAAACAAGGGTCAAAGAGCACTACTGGGGGACCTAGACTTCCTTGCAGTTTCCTTACCATCAACCGTGCATATGGCTGTGGCTCAAAAAAAACACCGGAGTTCCAAAACGGCTTGCCCGATCGGTAAGTGGACACATGGAGTTCAAGAAACCCGCGGTTTGTGCCCCACTCCGATCGCTTTCCCCCGCGGGTTTCTTTCGCCGGGTCACGCGGAGACGGCTTTGGAACTCCGGGTCTCTCCGGGCGCCCTCCACCAGCTCCTCCGAGGCTCGGCTGTGGATTTCCCCACGGAGAACAACCGAAAATCGGCCTCCGATTTCCTTTGGTTGGTTGAGTTTGTACCAAAGTCGAAGAAAGGAATCGGCATCCGTTTTTGCTTGAGTTTCAAGGAAAAAAGGAAGCCTTTCCAAAAAGAACAAGTCGAAAAAAGGAAAGGAACCCACTGGGCAATTGGGAAAGGGGAATCCAAATGAGGCTTTGTTTTTGGTGTCAGCGCCCCTAGCATGCCAGGACTGTTTTCGTTTTTGCTACTTGATGTTCACATAAGGGGGGCTGAGGGGGGCTGGGGGGGGGGGGGAAATAACGTTCGGCGCACACATACGCACAATGGTGTGCACACCAGGTGACGTGGACGGCCTCGGCCTCCGGCACGCGCGCGCAGACACACATCTACACTGACCACGCTTGATTGTTTTGTTGGTTGTTGTTGACGTCACGCATGTTTTCAGGGGCCGCTGTTTGTCTCACAATTAATGTGGCTATTGCGTTTGCGTGCGGGCCATGGATGAATGGTCTGACTTTCTGGTGAGGTATTCTCTTGCATTGGTGCTGCTGTGGCGTTTGGCCAAGTTGCCTGTGCCGACGCAGCAGGAACATGTGCTGCCTTTTTCAAATACCCTGCCACATATGTTGACAACTACTTGGAGGTGATGACAAGGCCAATTCAAGATAACGACATGGTTGCGTTTCTGCATAGACGGCGAGTGCTGCTCCTTCCCGCAAGAGCGTCACTGGCAAGCGCTCATCGCATTCGCTCCAACGCTCATGCGAGAGTGGCGGCAAAATCGCCAGCAAGGTGTGGTGTGGCATCAGTGTGTTGTGGCTGGGACACTTGTGCTGGCTAAGCGTCTGGCAGTGTAGATGCAGAAGACCAGGTGGAAATATTTTACAACTCAATCAGGGCAGGTACCCTAGGTCCTCCAGTAAAAAGGTTAGAATAAGGGCACCCTTTTTTTCTGTAGTCTATTTTAGTAGGGGAACACTCCGCCAAAAAAGGGGTAAAAGGGCACCACTGGCAGACCTAGTACCTTTTCGCATGCGGAGTCTCTAATGTATGTCCCCACTTCTCAAAGTTTGTCATGAAGCACCCCAAGGGACAGTTCGTGGTCAAGCGCCGTGGTCCAAGCGCTCAGGTGGCACGCAGCAACTTGACAATGGCAGCACTCCTCAAAAAATCCATTCCGCCTCATTTGGGTATGGGTCAAAATTAAACCACCAGGGGACCGCAGGTTTTGGTCCATGTTTCCACTTACCAGGGTTCCATTTTGGGTACATATTTTTGACCCACAGCCATTTGACCACTCGTGTCAAAGGCAAAATCCGAGAGAGCATGTTGTGGGAGATTTTGCACGACGTGTTCCGAAGAGCACATCAGGCGGACTTGTTTGTGCAGCTTGGGCAGCTACGCTCCGCGCGGTGAAAGTTTCGCTGGACTCTCTTTGTGTAGAAAGTAGTTAAAAATCGTGGCAGCAGTGGCAGGTCCTGGAAAAAAAGGCGCGCGTTGTGGCAGTTTTGCAAGCAGTTGGCACATGCAAGTGTGCAGGAACAAGTTAAAACCCTCACAAAACAACAACTCCTTTGACCGGTCCTTGCTAAAAAGTGTGAAAGTGCCCGGCCTCCTACAGGCGCAGTCACCTTGTTAGCTTTTGGCCGTAGCTTCTTTTGAACCAGGTTTCAATTTGAGTTTTGCTCACCCCGGGGTTCAAATCAACATTAAAACCATGGGGGGTTACTACCTCCATTATTTACAGTTCAGGGTCCGTACCCATCATCTTTTTGGGGTTGCATCCTAATGATGATGATGATGATGATGATGATGATGATGATGATGATGATGATTATGATGATGATGATGATGGTGATGACGATGATGATAATGAGGATGATAATGAGGATGATAAGGAACGATGATCGTGAGGAGGACAATGACGATGACGATGATGAGAAGCAGGAGGAGAACGATGACGATGACGATGGTCATAATGACGGTGATAATGATGCTGATGATGGTGAGATGATGGTGATGATGATTATGAGGATCAGGAGGACGATGACGATGATGATCAGGAGGATGATGGCGATGACGAAGATGATGATAATGACGACGATGATGATGCTGGTGATGGTGCTGATGATGACGATGACGAGGAGGAGGGGCATGCTGACGATGATGATGATGATGATGATGATGATGATGAGGCACAGTTGTGGCAGCGAACGCATCATGTCACTACGATAGTTTTCCCTCCAGCAATGCCAGCGAGGCATACCTCTGGCTCTGTAGGCGCGATCACCTGGCTGCTTAGCCTTGGGATGGAATTCCAGAGGAACAACCTGAATGTGGGAGGGGGACGATGACGATGACGATGGTAAAAGACAATGATGATCATGATCATCATTATGAGATGATGACGATGATGATGATGGTGATGATGATGATGATCATGATCATAATGATGATGATGATGATGATAATGATGATGATGATGATGACGATGATGATGACAATGATGATGATGGTGATGATGATGATGATGATGATGATGATGACGGTGAAGATGATGATGATGATGATGATGATGATGATGATGATGATGATGATGATGATGACGATTATGATGATGGTGATGATGATGATGATGATGACGATGATGATGACGATGATGATGATATCGATGATGATGATGGTGATGATGATGATGACGATCATGTTGTTGATGATGATGATGATGATGATGGTGATAATGATGATGGCGATGAGGATGATGATGATGATGATGATGATGATGATGGTGGTGATGGTGATGATGATGATGATGATGGTGATGAAGTGATGATGACAATGATGACGAGGATCATGATTATGGTGCTGAAAATGTTGAGGAGGAGGAGGGGGAGGACGATGATGACGAGGATGATGATTATGGTGCTGATAATGATGAGGAGGAGGGGGAGGACGATGACGATGACGATGATGTGTGATGATGTGTGGAAGAACTGGGGGGGGTCATTTGGATAAAGGGCCAACACTTGCGATCTTGGTGATTTAGAGTCCCTGGTTGCTCAGCGGCATCTCTTGTCCTTTTGCAGGTTGATGTCCAAAGGGTCCGCGACCCACTACGGGAACCCTCTGGCTTTCCCGCTGGGGAGTGCAGTGGCGTTCCGAAGCAGCCCAAAGGATCCTCCAAGCTGATCTTTCCACTGCCTCGCCGGTCGATCCGATCAAAGACCGCCTGCAAGAATTTCCGATCCTTCTCCTCACGTGGCGCGGGTGACCAAAGGGCGGGCCCTTCCCTTGCGTGGACTGGCCAACAAAAAGCCCAAACATGTCACCGGAAACCACTGGGTCCTTGGATGGCCGATCCACTTAGTAGGCTATGTCCATGGTTAGAACCCGAACCCACGTCCCAGATTTCTCACCATTGCTTGTGGTTGTGCCGCCTGGCTTCTGCCATATCTCAAGACTCAAGGTTTTCTCACTATTGTTGGGAACGTAGTGGTTTTATCCATGGATTAAAAAAACAATCACCCCATGCCCCATATGGCTGTGGCTCAAAGACATGTACTAAAATGGCATGGCAGATGGCTTTGCCACTGATTTTGGGCTTCCGACGATTTGTTTTTTGAGTGAAAGACATCGCACCCTACAAGAAGTTCCTTTCAATGGGCCACCATGGGCCCTTGGGCCACCACAAGGTGCTCAGGCCACCGCCTGTGAGAAGGTCCGGATATGTTTTTTGTGGGACTCCAGGCGTGAGTTTTCGTGGGAATTGTGGTGTCTCTTTTTTTCTTCAGCGCCCGTTGTGGTGTCTCTCTTTTTTCAAGGGACATCGAAAGAACAATAAAAACACATTCTCTTTCGGCCAAGGCAGCCTCATGTGCTGAAAAATTCTGCCAAAGTCCCAGACGAAATCCATTGGGCCCACAGCTCGAGGATCTTGGTGTGTTTTGAAACTGCATGTGCGCGTGTCCTTTTTGATTTTTTCGCCTCCCCGACGCTCGGGGAGGATTTTCCACGCAAATGGTTGGGACCTGTCTCCATGACCCTTGAAAAATGGGTCCATGACCCCCTTATTTTGGGTAATGACCCTTTTGTAAAGGGTCATGGAGACTCCAGGTGTGTCTTTTTTGAGTGCGTCCCCGACTCTCGGTGGGTGTTGATCTTCCACGCAAATGGTCGGGAGATGTGCATTTGATTGAAGGGAAGCCTCTCCAAAAACAAAGAACAAAGGAAATTGCAGCGGAGGTTCTGGAAGCTTTTCGCGTGAGGAAAATATTGGGTCAAGGTGACGTGTCAAGGGAAAATCCAGCATCAAAACAAAGGGTTGATACCGCCGCAACTATTTGCCGCTGAGGAGCTTCATCACTCCAATTGGGTCTCTTTGGTTCCTTTCTTTTTTATCGGGGTAAGGAACCCTAGGATCCTGTAAATCCCCACTTTCTAGTTGAAAGCTTCGGGTCGATCGGAGTTCAGAGTTTTTCTTCGCCAGGGTCCGGAAAAGGTGCGTTTCAAAGCAAGGCGCAACGTTGATACCTGGGCGAAAGTGGAGTACTTGGATGCGCACCCAATCAGTAGGACATAACTTTTGCTAGGCTACAACCAGGTCATAATTCTCTCACGTTCACGATTTTCACCTAAGCGGAAGCAACTTCCAGGTGGCCATTCGTGAGCTTTGAAAGGACAACCCCGTTTGGGTAGGCTTTCTAAATAACAACCAAAAGGAGACACTTCATTCCTTTTTAATAGCCCGCCCCCGAAATTATGATTCTCAGTGTCATCGTCGAATTCCAGCTCTTCGGCCAAGTTGAGGATATCTCTTTGGCGCGCTTCCGCGAATGTGTCGACCACAACCTGAATCCGCACAGGCCATTTGAGCCCTTTGAGGGTACGATCTCACTGCATGTCCAGCTCTGTTCTAGGCGTTGCTTCTTTGCCCGGTCGTTTCGACCGCCGTTACTTTCAACCACTTGACTTTCTCCTGCTGCCCGGAAGCATCGCGAAGGGTTCAAGGAAAATCGCCAGCAACTTGCACGACTTGCACTTGCGCACCCAGAGGCTGCTGGCTTCGGCTTTCAATGGACCCGACCTCTCCACTACACACCCCGCTTCGGTGTTTGGGGGTCTCAAAACCTGGCGGATAAATCGGGCCCTAAATACATCGGAGCCTTTGGGCAAGAAAACTTGCCACACTTTCACGAAAACACTTGCACGAGCACACTTGCACGAGCACACTTGCACGAGAAAACTTGCACGAGCACACTTGCACGAGAAAACTTGCACGAGCACACTTGCACGAGCACACTTGCACGAGAAAACTTGCACGAGCACACTTGCACGAGAAAACTTGCACGAACACAGTTCACTTGCACGAGAAACTTGCGCACAAGCGCACCTGCACGAGAACACTTGCACGAGAAACTTGCACGAGCACACTTGCACGAGCACACTTGCACGAGCACACTTGCACGAGCACACTTGCACGAGAAAACTTGCACGAGCACACTTGCACGAGCACACTTGCACGAGAAAACTTGCACGAGCACACTTGCACGAGAAAACTTGCACGAACACAGTTCACTTGCACGAGAAACTTGCGCACAAGCGCACCTGCACGAGAACACTTGCACGAGAAGCTTGCACGAGCACACTTGCACGAGCACACTTGCACGAGCACACTTGCACGAGCACACGTGCACGAGCACCCACGTGAACGAGCTCAAACTGGCACGAGCACGCCTGCACGAGAGGTGCAAAATGAGACTTGTTCTACCTTGTTTGTTCTCGCGGATGCGCCTGCAGAAGTTGTCTTGCGGTGATGCGGTATGCACAAACATCGAGGCATTGAGCAATTTGCACTAGGCAACTTTCATAGAACATGTGCGCAGAGCAACTTTGGTGGAGCCCTTGCGCAGCGCTTTTGAGATAGGTCACTTTGCGGAAGTTCAAGGGACACTTCCATAGAACAACTTGCGCGAGCAAATTGCAAAGAGCACGTGCGCAGAGAAACCTGACAAAGCAACTTGCATGGAGCACTTGCACAGAGCAACTTGCGCGGAGCAACGAGCGCAAAGCAGCTTGCACAGAGCAACTTGCGCAGCATACTGGCACACAGCACTTGCACAAAGCAACTTTCAAAGAACGCTTCCACAAAGCACTTGCGCGAAACAACTTGAGCAAACTCGCACGAGCACACTTGCACTAGCAAACTCGAGCAAGAACACTTGCGCAGGAACACTTGCAGGAGAGACTAAGATTAAACATATCTACTCTTGGTACGGTAGCAAGAAACTTTGTTTTTTTGCCGCTCCCCCCCCCAAGTAAAACTGAACAAAGCCAAAAAAAACAGTTAAGCAAACTTTATCCTTTGCCCTTGATGGACTCACAGTGCACGGAGGCAAGGACCGCATTTGACATCATACGCTACGCTCGCGGTGCGTTACGCTTTTCAGACCACCCATTGTTCCGGCTTCGTTTAGGGGTTCTGAAAACACCAGGATCGCCAGTGGCGTTTGTTTTTGCCCCATGCACTTTACCTCCAAAAACCTGCCACAGTGACTGACAGAAATGATCGCAACTTGGCTAGGCAACGATCGCCCTTCGATGAGGCCTTTAAGACCAAATCTACTGCAGGGTGAACTGTAAAAAAACCTCTTTGCTCCTCTGTTACGCTCAAGAACACTCACCAACTGGAAATAGAGATCCGCAGAAGGCTCAGCATGGCTGTGAAATATCCTGCGATCATAGATTTCACAATGGTTTGGGCCCTTCGGATTCTCATAAGAAAAATGGGCGGCCGCCCAAGGGGCGGCACCTTGGGTGGCACTGGACCCGTGACCCTCCCCAAGGTGTCTTCTGACAGAAGGGGTCGAAGCCATCTTGGTCCTGTCAGTTCACATCAAACAAAAAACTGGACTTGCACAACATAGGCACGCCCGGGTGTCAAACCTGGATCTTTTGGAGTAGGCACCTTTGCATCCAAACAAAATGGGATTGTCTCAAAATAACACACACAAAATGAGTGGGTTCCATTTACTGGGCTGTCCTCAGCTCGGATGTCTGTCAAACTTGTGGGGACCCCAGAAATGGATTTCGGGTTTCTCACTTCCTGAGTGCGCTGGCAAACAAAGCAACAACCACTTTGTGCTTACTAAACTGGTCCAAGCAACAACAAACAGTGGCTCAAGTCCAAGAACTCGCTCGGAAGTGAGGGAGCACGTTCCCGAAGGCCTGCCAACTGGGTCACCCAAAATAATGGTTGGTCATGGACCCATTTTTATTTCGGGTCAAGACTCCAGGTACTGGTAAGCAACCAAGGCCTTGCCACCCTTTAAAGCTTGAAATGGAGAATGGTGAAGGGCTTCCTGCTATAGGGGGTAAACCATTGTCGCACGCTGTGGTTTCCTCTTACTAGGTCCTCCAGTAGAGAGCTTAGAATAAGTTGGTGCCAACTTTTTCTGCAGTCTATTTTGGTCACGGGGAACCCTCCCCCCCAAAAAAGTTGGTAAAAGGGCACCTAGCTGGGGGACCTACGCAAGGTGAAAAGGGGACCGAGCCTCAAAACGAGCCGCACCCAAGCAGCCGGGTTCGCGACCAAGCAGCGGCCACAATCAGATTCAGCACTCCGAAGACCTCACAGATGGCGAATCCAACACCCAGTGGTTTCACCAACATGACCCCCTGCTGGAAGTGCTGTCTAGTTATCTCGGCTGTCAGCTCGTTGTGTCGGTCGTCAGTCAATCAATCTTCCACGTGAACCTCCATTGCATTTTTTGTATGGTGGCAACTACACCCCAGGGTATATAAGTACAAGTCCTTACTTGCCAAAGGCCAACCCGATGTGTAAAGGGTTATTCTATGGTTACTCTAGCTGTAGCTTCCCAATCCTCTTCAGTGCTTCTCTTTCACAAATGGGCCAGTCCGCTAAGAATATGTGTGCGTGTGTGTTTTCTAAAAAGAACGATGCGTCAAGAGAGTGGGGAATCAACTCTTAGAGTTATGGAGACCCCAGATGATATGGATATTGTTGGAGAAGAAATCCTAGTAAGAGACCCATCACCGAGACACACAAAGCATTTGGGTCTGTCCTTTTGTGGAGCTGGTACCCCTTGTTTGGTGGTTTTAAAAGGGACACCAAGATGGAATCGTTGCCGTTTTGAGGGGGATCTGCTAAAAGAAAACAGACCCAATCAAATTCCACGGGCGGATTTGCTTTTGGGTTCCCCGGCTCCTCCCTTTTTCCCGAAAAGCGCGGGTGCTTGGATTTGGACTCGGATCGTTTCTTGAGGCTTTGGTTGAAAGACTCCCTGGAAGCCAGCCACCTTCTACCTACCTTGTTTTGTCGCCAGGGCTCTCGGGGATTTCCACGGAAGCTCACTTCAATGGCCACCAATATTTAAAGCCACCCTCGAAGGGACCATACTCGGGGTTTCCCCAAAAAATGGTGTATGCCCGTTGTATACAGGGTCGCCTTGGGGCAAAATGAGCTGCAGCCATGGAACCCCCGGGCGCGACCCCCTCCATTTGCTCAAGTCCCTTGAAACAAATATATTTCCAGTAGTGACAAGTTCCTCCTAAAACCAACAAGGGGAAGAACAAAAAACGGTTTGTTTCAGCAAATGGAAGGACCGCGCGACTCCGAGCGCGACCGAGCAAGGGGGGGAACCAAGCGGCGAGGGTCAGCAGCGATCCCACGAAGATCACCGCGGTGGCGGGATATTTCTCGATGACCGGCACCGCGATGAGGCCCCAGCCATCCCCCGCAATGACCTCAGCGAGTGGCGGGTCTAAAGCGAGGGAGTCCTGGCCATTTGCTGAGAAGTCCCTGGAACAAATAAACATATTTCCAGGAGTGAAATCGATTCCCCCTAAAACCAACGAAAATAACAAATAATCTGAACCAAATGGAAGCTCGGGACATGTGTGGCACAACTTTCCATGTGGGTAGGTCATTTTTTGGAGACCCCCCCCCAGAATAGTGGTGTTCCTTTTGGTTCCCTGTAAAAACCAGCCCCTAAAAAGGGTGCCCTCAAAAAAAAAGACATACACAAGTACTCCGCCAAAGGCAGTTTCGGGTAGAGGGACATCATCGTCAAACTCCTGCAAACCAGGCTTGGACCCTTCGTGTCGAGAGGGAGCTCTGGAACACGAACAGGGGAAGAACGGAAAAACCGACGCCCCCGACGCCCCCTTTAATGTCAACAGCATGTTCAAGTATGGGCGTTCGAGGCACGGAGCTTTCGCACCACTCCAGGAAAATTGTCTATATACCTAAACCTTTCCCAGGTGTGCTTGTTTTTCTTTTTTCTTTTTTTTTCCGCCGCTTGCTGGAAAAGCAATAGGTTGTGTCGTTTGCTCCACAAAGAACCTTTTCCTTTTGAAAGTGCTGCTTCACAATCTTGCCAGAACGTGGTCGGCAAATGTCGCTTTTTGGTCGGGGAATGTTGCCTTTGGGTCGGGCAAAGTCGCCTTTTAAACAGCAAAATTCGCAAAAATGCACTGAGACCAAAAATGTGTTGCTTGCACTAAAAGGAGCCTTTGGCCCCCCTCAAACTACACAAAGAAGGAATCCACCCAAAATGTTTGGGGCTATAACCCATCGTAAAGGAATTTTGAGGGTCCGGGTAACGCTTTAGCTTCTGTTGGTGTGTAAGCACGCCTCCATATCTAACGCTTCTGTTGGTGTGTAAGCACGTCTCCATGCCTAGCACCCTGGACATGTCCTAGCAAATGGGTCCCAATACGCGAGGGTGTGTCTTTTTCGGACCCCGCTTTTTTGGTTCATTTTCAGGGGCAACCAAAAAAGGACTAAGGAAGACCTGCCAATGTCGATTTTGGAGTCCCGGTCCGATTCCCTCGGAAAAAAATAACAACGCGCCGAAATATGGGCCTTACTCCCCAGATAAATATGAAACCCTAAAACCTCAGAGTTTTGTAGCGAACGCACCGAAATATGGGCCTTACTCCCCAAACAACTACGAAACCCTAAAACCTCAGAGTTTGTACCTGGAGTCTCCCTAAGGACCCTTACAAAATGGTTGGTCATTACCCCAAATAATGGTTGGTCATGGACCCATTATTATTTCGGGTCCTTAGGGAGACTCCAGGTAGCGGGGTCGACCCCTTTTGGGGGGTCGACTCCAATCATTCGGCTCGCGGATCGAGTCGTGCATGACGTCCCTGCTCACTCGCACAAGCCGCCAAGGTCAACCTAAGGAGGGCTCCACTGCTTTTATTTGATTCACGTATTTTGAAATCACTTCTGGGCGTCAGGTTCTTCCTGATCTGTAGGGGTGGTTTTGCTTTTTCCTGCGAGTCGTCGAGATCGAGTCGAGTCGAATCGAGGCATCGGCGGTCTTGAAGAGCAGAAGATTCGCCTCCATGACCGATTGCGTGGCTCGCAGGCACTGGGGGCAGTCCTGCGTTTTTTTCGGATGAACCGGGTTGTGCGCCGTCCGGTTTTTGCTCCCCTGCGAAAAGATGAACGTCCAAGCTTGTGCAAACAAAAACACACCATCCCCAAATAAGTAGCGAAAACCCGGGGGAGGTGCCTTAAAAAAACTACTACTCAAAAAATGAGCTAACGATCTCTTCATGGCCCTTGTCGAAAACTGGGCGGAAAGCAGACATCGCAAAGAAAGAAGAATCTGGGACCATTGACACACAGCAAGGCTTGTTTTCTCAGCTGAAAGGACCCTAGCAAACACGGGCGACTCACTTCTGGAGTGGATTGGCAAAAACAAACAACCAAACTTGTAATTTACCGCTAACATGACAATCCCAAAAAGTGACTAACGTCCCAAACGGAACTAACCACTTATCAGGCCAACTGACTTGGAAAGTCATAACCCAGGGTGCTAACCGCTTACTTCCTTGGCAAATCGAACACCCAAGTTTTAGACACATCCAGACTCAGTGTCGGCCCCAAAAGATCTGCAAATGCGTCGACATTCTAGCGGTTGATTCCTTGTCCATTCTTTCCAGGCATCGTCCTTTTCAAAACCAGCCGTTCCTCCAGGGCCCAGGGTTGGTGGTTTTCCAGAAAGATTCGGATCCCTGGCTTGAGACATGCGTCCTTAACATGGAATCTACACTCACAAGCCAAGGGGCCCCTCCCTACCATCCAAACACGCGCCAGGCTTAAGCTTTGGCCAGAGGGGACGGAAAAGAAAACCCCCAACGACATGTTAGAACGGTAAGCGGTACTCCAGTAGAGAGGATAGAATAAAGGTACCCTTTTTTCTGTAGTCTTGTAGTAGGGGAACCCTTTTCCCAAAAAGGGTAAAAGGGCACTACTGGGTGACCTAGAACATGTTAGAAAGATAAGCTAATTCTGGCGAGGTTTGGGCCGGGAAACAAAAAGAAACCTGGCAGCTGTGAGGCTGATTCGCTGTGTGATTTGTTGGTCCCTTGCTAAACCCGGAGTGAGACATGTCATAACTCAGACTCCGAAGCTTAAAACTTCTGGTTCTCGAAATGAACTGCCCTAAGACAGAACTAACAAACACCCACATGCCCAGTGGACTTCCATGTGAAAAAAGAATCGGCACACCTTTTGGTTGCTTTACCTTAAAGGAATCGGAGCACTTCCCCCCACAAAAAAGTAACGAAAAAAGGGAGCGACTCACTTACTTTTTTCTTTACATGGAACCCTTCCCAAACCACAAGTCGAACAAAAAGCAGCGGAATCCACCGGTTGCAGGGAGAACCTGTCTCGACTCTTTGGTCGTTTTCTCCTGGAAGACTCCGGACTCCGTGTTCAAATCTTGCACCAGGGGATTCACCACCTGGCGGACCCGTGCACTTCGGAAATTTGTTTTTTCCCCCCGCGGACCTGAGGAAGGGCACGCCATCGAAAGTTCCAGGGAAGGCCGAAAGAGGAGAACACCCGTGTTTTTTGGAGTTTCTTCTTTTTTTTCGTTTCGTTTTTTTTTTTTGGGGGGGGGGCGGTCCTCGTGTTTCTTTTTATTATTATTATTTATTTATATTTATTTGGGGGGGCGGGCGTCCCAAAAAAAGGACACACAGCTAGCTTGCACATTTGTTCCAGGATCCTTCTTTCTAGAAAACCTCTAGAAACTCAGGATACACGACTGATCGACAGGAATGATGGTTGAAAATAATGGGGAATCAACCCCTAGAAAAGTAGTTCATGTCCTTCCTAAACGAGGAACCACCTGGGGCTGCGAATCAGAATCAGGGCTGGGCTGTGGGAAAGGACCACTTCTGTGATTTGAAAAAAGGGCTTCCCAAAGACTAACCCCCCCCCAACAAATTGGAGAGATTCCCTTGTATATACAGAAGTGGCGAGAAACCCTTAGGTAGCAAAGTTGTCTTTCCAAAACCTCCCTTCTGTTGGTTGGCCAAAAGAAGTCTACCCTTTTGCTCTGCTAAAGTGGCCTTGCCACAAAGAACAAAGTCCAGGAACTCAGGCATTGAGAAATTATGTGGAGAACAAAAAGGCAGCGCCCATGTTTGGGCCTTCATCTACCAGAGTTTTGATAGTCAGGTTCCGAACTCGAATTGGGTCCTGGAACAGGGTCCGGATCCCTGCGTGGCCAGTCTTCACGGTGTGTTTCTTTGTTGGCTTTCACGATGGAGTTGCAACCAACTAATGGGAATCCCAGATTAATAAACCCCTGGTTGGTGAATAGGGGGTGTCCCCTTCTAGTTGAGATTCATCACTTTTGGAGGGGTCACCCCAGGCTTTTAAAATCCGAAAATCCCATCAGTTAAAAGGGACCTTGCCCTCTTCAGGCCATTCCTTGCAGAATGCCTGTCAATACCAAGGCTTTGTTTCTCCAAGATGTCAGACTGTCATGCAGCTGGCTGTATGCAAAGTGTCGATGCTTTTTTGTGCAAACCTGAAAGCGCGTCGGCTAAACGGGCGCGTCTTTTTTCAAGAACACACATCACTGGAGAGGACTCTGGTCTTTAAGGCTGCCGACCGGAGCCTTCGGGGGATATGTCCAAAGGGAAACACATGGAAACCCGCCGGACTAAGAAATGATCATGTATAGGCTCAGAGAGCAACCTTGGCAGTGCCACATATGCGAAAACCCCCTGTCTGGGCAAAATTGCCAATTTCTCGCTTCCGGAATAGATGGCCCTTTGATTTACCACTAAAACGGTCCAAGCAACCAAAAAGTGACTCAAGTCCAGGAACTCAGGAAGTGAGATTTGGTGTCCTTTCCCGTTGCCTGTGGGGCCCCGAAGCCTAAAGGACCCCAGCTTCTGGCGCTTCGGGGCTGGTTTTCCAGTTGAGAACCAATGTTCAAATGGCACCAAGCCACCAATTTGCAGGCACAGCCGAGTATGGACCCTCGAACGACTTCTAAAACAGTCTTATTGCCCCAAAAGATCATGGTTGAAGTATTTGCCCACCTGGACCCTCAAACTACTTTTTAAAATTGGTTGTTGCCCCAAATCCATGGTTGGTGATTGGTGTTTCCCCCCTTTTTGAGGGTAGTTTGAGCCCGGCCTCAACGATGAACATGGCCCATACCGTCATTATGAGGAAGCAGAAGACGAAGGACCAGGCTAAGGCTCTCAAGCACGTGGCCTGCCGAAGTATCTCCAAAAGCTGGAGAAAGGTGGGTGGGGGGTCAAACACGGGACAAGCGCATCCCAAAAATGGGGTTACCTCTTTTAAAGGGAAACCAGGAGGACTCTAGACAGGCTTGTTTGCAATAGATTCCTATACGGGGCCTGTCCAATTACAGTAGGTGCTTCATCACAGCCCTTATCGGGCTTCCATCTCAACTGGCACGAAGCGGATTTTGTCACCCCAGGCGTTGCAAGCGGGTCTCATGTTTCTTTCAGTAGCCAGGAAAGACTGAACGAAACCACGTCCGAAAGAACCAACCACTGGAAAGTCCTCCATTTGCTGGGAAGTCCCCTAAGAGAAAAACAAGTATTTCAAGTAGTGCAAATGGAAGACATGTGAGCCCCCAAGACGAAGATCCTGGGGATATGTGCAGAAGCTCCCAGGGGGCGGGTTTTATACTGGAAAAGATCACTAGGGGTACACAACGCCATACGAATTTCCAAGGGCCAACTCACATACCCCGAAATGGACATATCCCGCCTCCAGGGCCTTATGCAGGGATGGTTTTTGTCGGTAGGTAGTGAAACCCATATGTAATCATTCTTGTTTGTTGGTACGTTCGTTCAGTGTGTTTAGAAATATTAATAACAAGAAACAAGACTCTCGCTTGGCCAGCACGTAAATTTTCCGGTCTCGGAACCCCCGATAACCCTGTTTCTGTTCAACCATGCAGTGTATCTCGACCAAAGTGACAGATTGTCAAGTAGAACAGCACGAGAAAATAATCAGCTCATCCACAAAAGTGTAGAGGCCAGGAAAAAGGCCTGAACCCAGTCTGAACATGTCTGAACACAGTCTGAGCCCAAACAACTGGGGGACATCAGGTGGTGGGCTTCATTCTGCCATCTTCTGTGCCACATCTTGAGGTAAAGGGTGCGACTGGGTGCGAATGGCACATCTTGAGGTGAATGCGATTTGGGTACGACTTTTCCTTGCGCATCGGCTACTAACCTGTATGGTCTTGGCCGCCGAAGACCCCCTCCCCCATGTCCCCGAATTGACTGATTTCAGACTTATATTTTACTCCGCCGGCTTCCGTTTTGGCCAGGTGTAGGAGCCTACCATGAGATAGCGGCAGGCCTTCCCATCAATGCCAAAACTTTTCTTGATGGAGCCTGCAAGGTCGAGGCTCAGAACGTCGGCTTGAGGGTGGTTCACTCGTCGGTGAGGTCTATCTCTGGCCGAAGCAGTTTGGCACTGCTTACAATCTCTTCTGAGCGGAACGTGACCATTCTCAATGTGTTCCGTCCGGCTCAGCTGGCATGCCCGAACTTCCTCGCCATAGATGCACCCCTTGATCACCACCGCCAGTGCCCTCATTAACCCAGGCGCCCACCCAAAGTCTCGACAAAACCTGAGATTTCTTAACTCCACCGGCAAGTTACCAAATGTTCAAGACTCTCGGCAGCAGAGAGGGATTTCCTATCACACAACATGATCGTATGTCCGTCAGTGTGCAAGTTTGCCCGAAGCTTATATTGGCTGTATAAGCATCTATACCTCCAGACCCCATATCTGAGAATGTTCGTTTGAGAAGACCCTGAGGTAAATCCCTGTGAACATGATATCCACCCAAGGGTCCATGTCAAACTCAAGTTCATAATGGTCATGTCAAGAACCATCCCTCCGTCCTCGCTGGTGTTGGGCTTATTGCCGCAACACAGTAGATTCAAGCTACATCGCTACGCGGCGAAGCCGGAGCTTAGATGAAGCAGGTGTACAGGAGTGTACAGGGATTCCCGCGAAGGCGGTGGCCGAGCGCAAAAAAGCGGAACAGGGGGGACCCGGAAGGCAACCCCCAAAAACCAAAACCCCGAGCCGAAAAAACCATCAACGCCCACCGCCCCGGAAAAAGGCACCACCATCCCTAACCCCAAATAGCCACATCTTTGTAACAGTTTACAATGACCATGGCGAGTGTTCTTTTTGTACCCGTTTTGGGTTGCTTAAAAGGGAAACTAAAAGGAGCCTACCCACTTTAAGAAGTATCTAAAAGCTCACCGCAAAGGGTCAAGAGTCATGTGCGGTCGCATCTACTTCCAGCGCCTAACGCTACAACTATTAACATGTATAGCGGTGACAAAGATGTCCCATAACAAAAACAATATACATTTCACTTCCAGAGTGGATTGGCTAAGGAACTTGTGGTTCGCCACCAATCTGTTCATCCAAAAAGTAAAAAGTGCATAAACTCAGGGAGCGAGAAAAGCAAGAACAACAATCACTTTGAACAAGTGGAATCTTACTACTCACTTCCTGCGTAGGTGGGCCACACAAAGTCCCAAAAGTTTACAGTCCGTGCACTCAGGAAGTGAGAAGTGGGACTAGGTCCTCCAGTAGAGAGGTTAGAACAAGTTGGCACCATGTTTTTTCTATTTTGTCTATTTTAGTAGGGGAACCCTCCCCCAAAAAAGAAACGGTAAAAGGGCACCACTGGACCTAGATGAATTGGGGGAAATGCTTGAGGAACTGGCGGCTGCCTGTTGGCTTCCAATCATGCCGGATGCGAGCTTGGGTCTGGGTCTAAAGAATTCCCGACGAATGGGTTCATGAGCATCCCCGGGCACCAAAGACCTCCATCTGCTTAAGTCCCCTGGAAAAAAAAGAATGTTTCCAGTAGTGAAATCGATTCCCTTACAACCAGCAGGGGAAATAAATCAGTCTTAACCAAATGGAAGAAGACGTGGCGTTTCGAGCAAGGCATATTTAAACTGAGGGGACAACCCCTGGTTACCAATCAAGCCAAGCAAGGAGATCCCACAAGGGGGCTACATCATGCTCATATGAGGAAAGCGAAATTTCGAAAATTAGAAAAGCAGCAGAAAAAATGTGCTTTATTAATATCTATCCCTGTGATCAGTCAATCTTGCAGATCTTTCACTGTGATGATCAGACTATGAGTCTAAGTTGTTTGGCGCTTTGCTCTATGTCAAATGCTATCTAGAAACTGGGAAAACATCCTGGTAGAATTGAAGTGGAATTTAATAAGGACATGCTCCTAGTAGGATTTTTAGTTTAAATGCAATCTAAACACGTTTTCATCTCCAAGTATACTATTGTAATTAAGTGTCTTATTTGACACTAGAAACCTTTGTCCTTTTTGCCAAACAACTCCCCAAACTTTGTGTTGACCACCTAGATGGTCCAAACCCCCAAAAGTGACTAAAGTTCATGAACCTAGGGAGTGAGACAAAGGACCGAACAACAAAATTATAGAGAATTGGGGTCTGTTTTGCAACTAGCTTCCTTTGGAGCATTGGACTTTTTGGATTCTCGTCTGCAACATAGACTCTACTTGCGTTTGTCATTTTTGAGGCTACTAGTTTGGAGGTGAACAGGACATGCATGAACACAAACACCATGTTTTGGATGTTGCCTATCATCCCAGCCCGGGCGCCCCCCCTTTTCCGTCCACCCCCCCCGGCACCCCAACCGCATCCCAGCCCCAGGCCACCAAAATGTCCGGGACTCCGCGCCATCATGGTCACCAGCTTCTGCAGCTCCCGCAGCGCCCGGGTCTTCCGCAGCAAACGCATCAACCGCACCTCCGCCGCCGACGGCGTTTAGGTCGTCGCGAGACGCGTGCGCCTGGTTTTTCACCCCGTACCTGGCGATCCTGCTTGCTGGTTCGATAGGAAATGGCCCAGGCTTTTGGGAATGAACCGGAAGGGGCGTCCCTTCAACAAAGCCATGGGGGATGGCTTATAGGGGTCATTCTGTGCTTGTAAAAGGGGCCCTGGTTAGTTCCCCCATGCAACTGAGTCCAGTAAAGTGACATCCTCAAACTGGTTGACTCATTTGGCGAGTGACCAGCCCCCAAAAAACTTGGACACTTTTTGGGCCACCACTAAAATAAAGAAAGAGCCACCAAGGAAAACAGTGTAAGGTGTGTCCACTGGCTGGGTGAGTTTAGGGCATCCAACGAAACTGGGGCCAAAGCGGTTGCATGTTGAGAAGGTTCTCCAACAATGTTTTGGGGGTTGTTTGCCCTTTAAACAAAGCCATGTTGGTTGGGGGTCATTTTGAGGGGATCGTTTAAAGGGAAACCAAAAGGAAACTACCCATTGTTGAGGTTCCTTATTTAGAGACAAACAAATGAAGTGTTACAAGGATTTGGATAAATTTGGCTCCCTCTAAACGTTTTGGAGGTGAGCGGTATCGGTATTGAGTTGGCCAGCGGTAAGAAAGTTCCAAGGCTCACTGAACGAGTGGACCAAAAGGACATGGTTGTTTATACGGAACCCAAAAGGAAAACCACCTTTTGGGGGGGTCCTCTAACAAAAGACACACCTCACTTCCGAACGAGTGGATTGGCCAAACAAAGTCCAGACTTGATATTCCAGCGCGAGAATGGTCCAAACCCAAGTGACTAAAGTCCAGAAACTTGATCGGATGCGAGAAGAACCTCTCAAAAAGGACACGCCTCACTTCCGAACGAGTGGCCAAACAGAGTCCCGACTTATGAATGATCCAAACCCAACAAGTGTCCAGAAACTCGATCGGAAGGTGAAAAGATCCACAGGAGCCTCGCTTCCTCGGATTGGCCAAAGTCACTCAGCTGTTGGGCTACCGAAATGAGCGCCCAAAATCCACGAACTCGAAAAGCGAGGCATAGAAATCCGGAAGGACAACAGTGTCAAGGAAGGAGCATCTACTGCACACAAATAACCATTTCGCAGCACCTAAGGAACATGGGACACCTTTGTTCGCTGGAGGAAACAGGGGAATCACCATTCCAGAGTTCCTTAGGTGCAGAGTTTCCTCCGGCCACAATACGTACCCTGCGCGCAAAGAATCAGTCGGAGCGTTTTGAACAAAGGAAATCCCTGGAGAGTGGTCGGGGTGTACGTCGCTCGCGATGGTGTTTTGCCCAACCGCGAGAAGAAAACAAACAACCAAAAAAACAACAACCTCCATTTGCTTAAGTCCCCTGGAAAAAATGAGAAATAATTTCCAGTAGTGAAATCGATTCCTTTAACACCAACAGGGGAAAATATAACATATCCTGAACCAAATGGAGAAAAACAAGGGGTGGGGCAAAAGTAAGCAGGAATGTCTAGCCTGGATGGATCAGCGTGGTGGATTACTCACTTCTTGAGTGAATTGGCCAGCAAATTTACTCACACTGTTTGTTTACCAATAATATGGACCAAACCCAGAAAGTGACTAAAGTCCAGGAACCGGGGAGAGAGATTAACTTGGTGGCTTGGTAGGTTCTCCAAAAAGTGAAGGATTCCCTCCTGCACGGGACATCCCCCGAATCAAGAGCAGCGCCCGTTTCGCCCATTGACGTTTGGCTCCGTCTTGCTTTCATCCACCTGTGGTCAAAACTCACTTGGGTGTGTCTTTTTTAGGGCGCCCCCAAAACGATGGGTTGCCTTTCGGTTCCCTTTAAACACGCAAAACAAGGTAACCTGAAAAAAGCACAGACACGCCCACGTAAGTCATGGTCATGGTTACTAGGTCCTCCAGTAGAGAGGTTAGAATAAGGGTACCCTTTTTCTGTAGTCTATTTTAGTAGGGGAGCCCTCCCTCCAAACAAGAAACGGTAAAAGGGCACCTAGCCGGGGGACCTAGGTTACTAGATCTCATTGGTCTAAAATCTGCTCAGAAGTCCGATCCCCAATCCCACGTCGGTTGCGGGTGCCTTGAGAACATGGCACGCGTGATGCCAGTGAAGCACCTACCTTCGTCTGAATCTTCTTCATCCGTTGCTTTAAGCAACCTCCATTTGCTTTCGTCCCCTGGAAAGAAAAAAACAAATACAGTAGTGATAGATTCCCTGAAAATCAACGGGGGGAAAAATATTGACCAAATGAAAGGTTTCCCTCTAAAGAACATGGGCCAGGGGCTTAGCTGTTTGCTGGGCCACCGCTCCCCAAGTACAAGGTCGATCGCCTTTTGTGCTAGGTCCTCCAGTAGAGAGGTTGGAAGCCTTTTTCTGTAGTCTATTTTAGTAGGGGAACCCTCCCCCCAAAAAGGGTAAAAGGGCGCTACTGGGGGACCTAGTGTGGGTGGAAAGTTTGCTTCCAAGAGGTACCGAGCGATTCGGTCGTAAAGACCAGCCATGTCGATTCGGTTGCTGGACGCTCAGAAAGTTTGTCACTTCTTGTGGGTTCAATGGACAAGCCAACAAAATGCAATCTAAAAATGAAACAAGATCCAACCCATCAGCAATGAAGATGTTTGGAGGGGTGTGTGTGCGTGTGTGTGTGTGTGTGTGTGTGTGTGTGTGTGTGTGTGTGTGTGTGTGTGTGTGTGTGTGTGTGTGTGTGTGTGTGTGTGTGTATGCGCTGCTCGTCCGCGGCGCGATACGCGCCAATCGGAAGACCCGCAGCACGCCCATACGCATAACGATGTCTTCCTCCAGCACGGTGCTCAAGATCAAGTCCACGTAGCCAAAGGCGACGATGAACATCTTAGCAGTTGGCAAACAAATACCTGGAGTCTCCATGACCCTTTAAAAATGGGTCAACGACCCCATTATTTTGGGTAATGACCAACCATTTTTTAAGGGTCATGGAGACTCCAGGTATAAAGCAGACCTCCTTTTTTGGGGTATTGCAGAGGTGGGGGTGTCTCCAAAGTTGGCATCGGAGCTCCAACATGGGCTTCGGATTAACTGTGGTTTCCGTTTGCCGTCCAAAAGGGGTATACCTGGAGCTTCCATGACCCTGCCCAAAATAATGGGGTCATTGACCCATTTTTTAAGGGTCATGGAGACTCCAGGTACACTCAACAAAACATGCAATCGGGGAAATCCCAACCATCCATTCTCCGGCCAACAGAAGTGATACTCCAGAGGCCCAAGGGCAAAAAGGCTGGTATGGAATCAAAGAGGACGAACCAGATTGCCAAAGAGAAGAGCTAGATTATCAGCTGGAAATCCTCCATGATGGTATTTTGGTTTGTAATTATTCAGGCCCTTGTAGTATCCCATAGTGGAACCACATGGATTGTGTGTTGAACGAGCATGAACCTAGAAAGTAAGTTGGGACAAAACGAGCATTCTCCGTCTCCGCTCTTTGGCCGGGCACGTCCAGCAGCAGCGTCCAATCCGTTGCCATGCGCTTGCCTCCCATTTGCAATCGAAACGGATTTCTGCTGAATACCCAAAGCCCAATTCGAAAAGGAAACACCCCCCACCATATGCTTCGTGCAGTAAGCCAACTCAAAGCAGAAACTAATATTTCTATCTCCCCAAACCACCCTTGAATTTAAAGGGAACACCCCCACCAACCCATTTCAATGCAGCATAATGCAGAAACCCATATTTCTATGTGCGGTTATTTTTTGGGTGCAACCTGTTTCAAAGGGCATTTCTCAGGGAGGCGCATTTCTCAGGGAGGCGCATTCCCGTGACCTTAAATTACCCAAATGGCGCGGAAAAAAGACACCACAAAAGTCTGGTTGACCACCCTGAACATCTTGCTGTCCTCAGATCTGCTGAGGGTTAAGCTTTCGCGGGTGGACACCCCCACTAAAAGCCAACTAAAAACCTAAACACCTGCGGAGATGGCTGAGAACCACAACCTCCATTTGCTTAAGGTTCCTGGAAAAATACAACATATCTCCAGTAGTGACAGATTCCTGTAAAACCAACCGAAAATAGAACATATTATCAAGCAAATGGAAGGCTGGGAAGCACCAAGACATCTTCAAGTCAACGGACCCTGTCCAATTTGTTGCAGGATTGGTTTGATGCACGCCTCCCGATGTGAAAAACTACTTCACAAAAGGACTTGCTTGACGTCATTGGAGGGTCATAAGCCTCCTTTGTGTGGGTGTGTGGTGTTGCCTTGCTTTATAAAGTAGTGATTTTATACTGCTTTACAGAGTGTGTCTTTGCGTTTTTTTGCGTTTGCTCTTGAGTGTTCTGGCAATTGCCCTGCTGGGGGGGAGGGCGGGAAGACCATAGGTCGTTCTTGTTGAGCCCGTTTCGGGATTCCGGCATTTTGTCACGAGCATTTTTTGGGGGTTCGTCAGGGCCTATGGCTGCCCGGCTCTAACGGGCCAGCATTTCGCCGCCCTTAGTCCCCGGACTGCAAATACCCGCCTTTTTCTGAGGGTATCATGTCAACCCTTTACCAAACAAAGGAGGCATTTACCGTGGAAAACCCGGCTATTCAAAAAACTAACTAAACAAAAAAGGTGTTTGGAGGGGGTTGCCCCAACAGTCGGTTGATTTTGATCGGGTGTGCTCTGGGGTGCATCACTGGAAAAAGAACCCCCTACTGTACTAGGGCATGGGTGAAGATTGGACACAGGACCCTCCCCAAAATCAGCATAGGGAGCCACTAACTCAGCCCAAACTGGTACTCCCACATATGACTGTCCAATTTGGGAACCAAAGGAATCATGGAAGCAAAACGGACCGCCGATTGGGAGGAATCAGGCAGCAAAATTAAGGACCCCCAAAAAATGGGGGGGGGGGCTCCTTTTTCCCTCCGTTGAACTGCACTGCCAAACAGAGTAATTAGCTAACCAAATGAGGAAAGCCAAGCCCATTTAGTCCAACTACGTTGCCCGGACTTCTGGCGCCTTCCAAATAGAAGGGAGAAGGAAGTATAAATAAATTTCCAAGATTCCAAGGCACCCCTCCAATGTGTTAGGAGGAAAAGCGGGAGTCTATCAAGTCTGGTTGTTGCATCAGTCCTAATGCTGGTTTTACTTCACTGGGTTTCAAACGTCGTCGATACTTTTCAAGTGAATTCGTAGCAAATCGACGATTGGTTGTGTGTGTGTGGCCAAATAGGGATTCGGACATCCTGAGCACTGCAATGGTCTTTACAAAAAAAGTTCAAACAAGTCCACCTAGATAGCCAAGTTGCCGCTTTTCTCAGTCACTGTTGCTGGTTTTTGGGGTAAAGCGCATGAAAAAAAAGCAGCAGCACCTGGCGATCCAGGCATGAACTCAGGGAGTGCGATCCACTCACTTGGCCAGTGACCAGCCCAAAAAAACGGTGCACACTTTTTGGCCCGCCACTCAAATAAAGGAGAGCCACCAAGGAAAAAAGGTGCAAAGTGCGCTGACTGGCTGGGTGAGTCCAAAATTTGGGAACCAGGGCAACAGCACAAATTCGAGGTCACACAGAAAACGAACATCGGGCCTTGCACCGCGAAGTTCAACACCAGCTCGATGGTGTACAGCGTGAGGCACACGTCCGACAAGGTCAGCACAAGCGCTGGAGCCTCTCCGGCAGCTTGCTTCCATTTGCTGAGAAGCTCCCTGGCAACAAAATATGTCCAGTAGTGACAGATTCAATTCATCCTGCGTCGGCAAAACTTCTAGCAACTCGGTGATTAATTCATTGATGTATGTTAACCTCCATTTGCTTTTCCGTCCCCTGGCAAAAGTAAAAACACACAAAAACAAATCCGGAGTGGCAGACTCCCTTTAAAGCCAACAGGGGAAATAAAAAACATATTCTTAACCAAATGGAAGTTTACTAGGAGAGGCAAAAGGGCACTGGAACTGAACCACTTGGCTACTGGTCAAAGTAGGGGAGGGCAACAATGTGGTTTTCCTGTTGTCCCTTTCAACCGAGGTGCAAAGGGAACCCGGAAACAACACAAACACAAGCGCACTTCCTGAGTGAATGGGACAGAAACTTATGACTTGTTGCTTGCCACTTGAGTTTGTCTTCCAAACATTTGTGCGCCCCGGAACGGCAGGAACAGGCGCAAAATCAGTTTGCCCCTGAAAGGACAATATATCGACCCCTGCTGAGCTAGGCAACTCATGGCCTGGTGTCTGAATGTCCAAAAGTTGGTTGAACTCTTGGAAGAACCGGACCAGAAAAACGGACGTTGGGGCATCCGAGTGCTTCCAGAGGGAGAAGCTTCTGGTTGCCTATTCTGGAAGCCCGAATCAAATAGAAACGCCCGTTTTTCCTGAACCAAACAACATTTTGTATCACATGGCTCCCCGAGAAAAACAAGAAACAATTATCCAGAGATACTTCTTTCTGAAAAACCATGGAAGAACCTGAAAATTAACGGCGATCGGTTTTTCAAAAGGATGGCTAGAAAGAATGGTTGGAATCGACCCCCTGTCACAATCACCAGGACCTTGTCGCACTAAAAACCCGCCAAGGGCGAGATCCGCAGTCATACCTCTTCTCGGTTCCTGAGAGGAGTGGAACTTTTTGTTGGCCGCTATGAACCAAACCCAAAAAGCCTCAAGTCCGGGAACTCCGAAGTGAGTCTTTATGAGTTTTACTGGAACCTGCACTAGAGAGGTTAGAATAAGGCTACCAGTTTCTTTCTGTCTATTTTAGGGAAACCCTCCCCCCAAAAGAGAAACGCTAAAAAAGGGCACCAATCGCTGGGGGACCTAGTTTACTTCTCGGGACCTTGTGGTGGACATCGCATCTGGTGTGACGACTTCTTTGCGGAAAAAAAAGAGGCTCAGAGAATCCCCGGCCTGCTTAGGTGCGACGACACCCCGCCGTTTTTGTTTTGGCTCCGAGACCCCCCGGCCACCGCCTCTCCCACCCCCGGCCCCCCCTCCGGCCTTGCCGCCCTGCGCTCTGGCGTCGATGTCGCTGCAGGTGCAGTAGGCGTCGAAGAGCACCACGAGGACCATGAAGTTCGAAACGTAGCTGCTGTTCAAGATGCCTGCCCCAAATCCAAATTTCCGAGTCAGTGGCCATGTGGTTGAAATGACCACATGGTGATACAAAAAGAAACTTCACAGAGACGAACCCCCCATATAGAGATTCCAACTTGTATCACAGAAGTGGTTGGAGAAACCCCTTGATCCAACAACCCTGATTGCCACAAACTACCCTTAAACATGGGTTTTCCTGTCCCAACATGTTTCAGGCCAAACTACCCTAACTACCTGGAGGCTCCCTAAGGACCCTTTGAAAATGGGTCAATGACCCCATTATTTTGGGCAATGACCAACCATTGTTTAAGGGTCTTTTCTTGTCCCAACATGTTTCAGGCCAAACTACCCTTAAACATGGGTTTTCCTGCCCCGAGCGTCTAAATCTAGGCAGCGAAGCCGATGGATTTGGTCAAGATGCCTGCCGAGAGTATCTCTAAGCAGCGGAGCCGATGGACTTTATTAATTTCAAGGTCACATAAGCAGCGAAGCCGAGGGACGCTTGGTTCAAACCAAGGTTTATGTGTTTTCTTGCCCTAACATGTTTCAGTGGGCAGATTGAGGCTCCAGGTAAACCAATTCCAGAAGAGCTTCAGATGAGATTCGGCAGCGAAGCCCATGGACATTTGAGGTTCAAGGCCACAAAGATTCCTGGAGTGTCCATGACCCTTTTAAAAATGGGTCAACGAAATAATGGGTAATGACCAACCATTTTTAAAGGGTCCTTAGGGAGACTCCAGGTTTATGTGGGCCCTGCAAGAACATGTGTGCGATGATCTAGGCTTCTTCCTATCACACCCGCGGAAACACACCCTGGGAATACAAGCCGGGAAATTACAAAATCGCATAAATCAATCTAACCATGCAGGTTTGACCTGGCAAAAAAGGGAGCCCTTTTTTGGGGAAGACCGTTTTTTGTGGGGCGGCCACCAAAAAAAAGGAAAAAGGGTGCCACTGAACAACTGAGTGGAGATAGGCTAGAATAGGGTGATTCCCCAGAGGGTGTAATCCCAGTAGCAGGAAAACCCTTGGAGATGAGATTCGGCGAAACCTCTCCTGTTGGTTCTACATGGTCACAAAGGTATGTAGGCCCTACGCAAATAACATGCGACACTGTGTTGTTTGCAGCCCCCTACTGAAAATAAACAGAACCATAAAATCAAAGAAGCTAAAATAATGCCAACAACAAGCACTATTTCTATATGTATATATGTAAAAATGCCCATGCATCCTGAATCCCCTAAAGCGAATAATAGAAGAGGGGTGGAACTACCATCAAGCTGTTGGTGGCTAATGATATTCGGGTCATGGCGCCTTAAAGCAGCCAGAAAAAAGGTCCAAGTTGTTTGCTGGCCGCTGAAATGGTGTTCCAAAAAGAAACTATATTAGTTGATCAACTGCGCTTTGGAAAGATGGGGGCTTTGCACGTTGCAATCGCACGTGTTTGTGTAAATTAGCCAGCTGTCATATTTATGTCACTTTCCTATCCCTTCCCGGCTCCCACTTCTTCCCTCCTAATCGTCGGCCCTGAACTAAAGCCCACAGCACAGGGAGTGAGAACAGGGGTGTGAAAAAAAAGAGAAAACCACGTCGTTACCCCATCCAATTCATCCAGTTGCTTTTTCGTCCCCTGGAAGCAAAGAAACATATTCCCAATCGTCATAGACTATCTGAACAACTAACAGGGGAAAAAACAACTGCTTAAGCTAACTAGGTCCGCTGGAACAAGGGTACCAACTGTTTTTGTCCTTTTAGTAGGGGAACCCAGCCCCAAAAAACGGGCTACCCTGGCATTACTGGGGGTCCAAACGCGTTGTTTGCCACTCAAATGGTCCAAACCCGAAAAAAGTTTGAGAAGTCCTAGACCAAGTAAGCGAATGCACTTGTTACCCCCTCCCTGCCCCCTCCCATTTGTCTGCGGCCGGCCACCGAGCTGCACCGGCAGCTCGGTGTGAGGTCATCGTGATCCAAGGCGGCCAAAACAAAACCGTCGAAGGAAACACCGTGGAGGGTTGCGAAACCCAATTCGCAGCACCGTTCAGAAACCTACTGCGGATGGCTGCGAAATCCAAGTCGCACCGCCTACGAAACCTTGGAAGGATGATACCCAGGGAAATACCAACAAACAATATGGTTTCCCATGGTGTCAAAGTGGTGCAGGATTTTGTTTAACCCAAGTCCCACTGACAGGGTTCCCTATGTTTCCCCTACTGTGGATGGCTGCGAAATCCAAGTCGCGCCACTTTGAAACCATTGGACACCATTGTTTATTGGCATTGACAGGGGATTACCAGTCCAGCGGTGCAGCATTTCGTCCATCCAAAGTAGGTTCGCACAATACGGGTGGGGTGGGTGGGACACGCCGGAACTTGTGTTGGCTTGCTTCCCTCACATCCTGCGTGGCCCAAACAGGCAACCAAACTGCTTATTCGCCACTACTCGGTTGTTTTCCGCTCCCCTGCTAAAAGTTTACCTCTTAGTGGTTTAATACGGAAAACCCAGCAGTTGGCAAAAAGTTAAAGTCCTAACATCCCTTGGCAAAATGCGCCAAGGGTTCAAGTCCGGCAGCTCCAGTAAGTGTTGGTTCGAAACCAAAACGGGGGTCCCATTCGGGCGCTGGCCCGTCGAGAAGTCGAGGTGCGCCGGGCAACGTGCTGCACTCGCTCCTTGAAGCTTCGTGAGCTGTCCTCAGGAGGAAACAAAAATCCCGAGGACGCGTGGAGGAATGGTAGTCATCTCTACTCTTGGTATGGGCTTGCGAAAGACTGACTGTTTTTTGAAGACCCCCAATCAAAATGAACAGAACCAAAAAACTAAAAAAAACAAAAGCATGCCAAGAACAGCGAAGTATTGATACTGTGGACGAAATCCGCGAGTCTCGCACCACCCAAGACACCATGGTTATTTGTTTTAATGTTTGGTGGTATTTACTTTGGGGATCATTTTAGGGTTTCTGAACGGTGGGGTTCGAACGGGTTTTGTCTAAAGTAGGTGGCAAATGGATTCCAATGCCATTCCTGCGAGTCAATTTCTGCAAGCTGGAGGAATGGTGTGGATGGAATCCATGGCGTGTCGCTGTGGACATATTGGAGCTCATCCGCATACTGTGGATGGATGGACGAAATCCGTGTCGCACCGTTCAGAAACCTTGGAATGATGATTCCCAGGTACATACCAACACAATATAGGTATCCCATCGTTTCAAAGTGGTGCGAATTGGATTTCGCAGCCATCCACAGTAGCGGAAAGCTAGGGAACCCTGTCAGTGGGGCTTGGGTTCGACGACCCCCGCAATGGAAAGCACGCAAAACAAAGCGAGGTCTGTGGTGGCCATGTCACTTAATTACTAGGTCCTCCAGCAGAGAGGTTAGAATAAGGGTACCAACTTTTTTCTGTAGTCTATTTTAGTAGGGGAACCCTCCCCCCAAGAAAGCGGTTAAAGAGGGCATCTGGCTGGGGGACCAAGCTTATAACCCTCAAGCATCGAAGGGGCCCTCGTATCGGACCATTTCGAGGTCCAAAACCTTTCAACGGGGGTCCCTTCCACCCTTCAGTGGAGGGCCCCTGCTGATGCTTAGGGTCCTCGGTGTCTTGGGCGACGACGACCAAAAAAAAAAGGGTTCGCCTTGGGCTGTGTGGCGGTTGTATATCCCATTAAAATTTGTTGGGGGTAGTTCTTTGGGGTGTTTGCTGATGCTTGCAGAAACCACGCCGGCTATGGTTCTCAAAATTGGACCCCCCGAACCAGAACCAGGCGGGGATACCCTCCATCGAGGTTCCCAAAATAGCGACCCCCTCGAACAGCAACGGTTTGCATCCATTAAAGCAACATAAGCACCAGTATTATTGGGAAGTGTCATGCAAATTGGAGGGGGGGCAAGGTGAGAATGGGTTAGCCTAAGGGAACTCCTATACACTCCTAATCCCTACGAAGCAAAACCACCCGGGGTACTTCCAATGATCTTGGCAACACTTTCAAAGTCCAGTGACTCTGAGTAAGGTAAAGGGTTAAGCCCAGGTGGGAGCCACGGTCGATAGTCAGTAGCCGTCACGATGAAACGCCACTGAGAAAGGTTGGCCTGCGGTCGATGTCACGACTCGTCCGAGAAACGATGAGAACACCGGCGACGAGGTGCGCCATGCTCGCAGCCGTTCGTGAGCATTCGTGCAACTAACTCGGTTGCGAAATCTGCTCCCCTGCTAAAAGTTTAACTCTTAGTGGTTTAATACGGAAAACCCATTTGTTGGCAAAATGTTAAAGTCCTAACATCCCTTGGCAAAATGCGCCAAAGATAAAGCATGGGACCATCGACACCAAATGGTATTGGACAAACCGCGCGCAAGACACATAATCGCACATCCGGACATGGGAAATCAACGCTTAGAATGGGTCACGAGCCATTCTCCTTATGGGTTCATGGGCTGGCAAGCCCTTGATTGCCTACTATATGGGTTTCTCAAAATAGGGTGTGGACCCCAGAAATTATTGGTTTCCTGTGGGGTATAACCTCAGATGCCCCCAAAACCACCAGCTTCAGGGGCTTACTTAATGGGATATGCAACCACTATGCAGCCGCCATATGTAAAGGCGAACCCCGTTTTTCTCGGGGTAGCCCAACACCCCAGTCGGGACCCTGAGCATCAGAAGCGTTCGATGCTTCGACCTCCGAAATCCACGACCCCCGCGTGGTCGTAAACTGGGGCCCAGTCGACGGACATGTTCAGCTTGGACCGGGACTTGATGAAGTCGCTGTTCAAGGACAAGCTGTTTCTCCTGGCAATACTGTCCAGGGGTGCTACATACCCGGTTTAACCCTTGGGCAAATGAACCCAAAAGGCCGGCTGATGTTCACACCCCTCCCTATATGCCCTAGGTCCTCCAGTAGAGAGAGGTTGGAATAAGGGTAACAACTCTTTTCTGGGGGACCTAGTACCCCTTTTACCCCTTCAGCAAATGAACCTGTTCACGCCCCTCTCCCCCAAAGGGTATATACTCATGGGATGGATTCACCAGCAAAGCCAAAAAAAACGGTATGAAGAAGGGACCGGTGTGTACTTCCACCCGATACTGTGGACGCACCTTTTTGAACTATGGTTGAAGCCTTGTGCTCCTAAGAATCAGTCAGAGTTCTTGTGGGTGCACCTAACCCTGGCAGGATTTTGTTGATCCCCGTGTAGGTTATCAAGAATTAGGTGGTGCAGGAGCAGCCTTCCATCCACAGCGTGAGCATCTGGAGCATACCCCAGCCCGGAAGTGACAATGATTAAGCACCCAAAAAAGGCAAACTATTGCAACAGGTGGTGGGTTTCAGCCATGGTTTCTTAGGTGGTGCGAATTGGATTTCGCAACCATCCAGAGTATGACCGGCACCCCACAGAAAATGATAAAGAAGGCACCGTTTCAGGTTCCCTTTTTTCAGGGAGCCCGGAGTCAACCCCAGTGGGTGGCTTCCTTTGTTCACTTGATTGATGGAGTCAACCCTCAAACTACCCTTACAAATGAGCTATTGCAATGCACAACTATGGTTGGTGCTTGCCTTTCAGAGGGTAGCTAGAGGGATCAGGTATAATATAGGGTGGTGGTAAGATTCAGTTTTGATTCAACCAGAGAGACAATAATGGAAAGCCAAAAAGGCAGAAGGCCAAAACGGTAAGTTAAGTTTCGCCATGTGTCCAGTCCTGCTTGTATGGTTAGTATGGAACCCCAAAGCCACAATTGGTAGAGGAACTCTCTGTGTTTTTATGTTCCTTTTTTTGTGTTCTTCTTTTTTCCCGAGTTCCATGTCAAGTTGCAAGGGAATAATAGGTACGGGCTGTGTTGTAGCTTCTTGCAAGTTCTACAATAGTTCCAAGCACTGAACACAAGAATTGGATCCCCAAGTCACAGAGAGGTTAGACTAAGTTGGTACCAACTTTCTCTCTAGTCTATTCTAGTAGGGGAACCCTCCCCCCAAAAAAAGAAAAGGTAAAAGGGCACCTAGCTGGGGGACTTAGACAAGAAAGACTTTAACAAGGAAAAAAAAAAAACCTCGAGCAGCCAAAAACCCTCGAGAGATCTGTCCTCCTGACGGATCCCTTGGAGTCGAAGCGCTCGAGATCCCTGCCATCGAGCGAGCAAGATGCTGCCAGGAACCGCCCATTGTGCAGCCCTAGGGGGGACTAAGGGGAGGGGTATCCCTGGATAAGCCCAGGATAAGCCACCCTAGACTGCTACTTGGGTGTTCGATTCGCCAAGCTAGTAAGTGATTCGCCACCTGTGCTATTACCCACAAAGGACTGGTTTAACCACGTTATAAGTGGGTTATGGGGTTATGACGCCCAGGTGGCTTACTATTTACTAACTTGGCCGAACACCCAAGTAGACTGTGCTTTTTTTTTGGGGGGGGGGCTATCGCTGGATAAGCTCAGGATAAGCCAGGGATACGCCCTTGGGCCTTATTAAGGCCCCCCTCACCAAAAAAGTGGATCACCTTTGGTAGGCTTAATGGAAATGCAACAAAACTCGGTTGCTTTCTGCTCCCCTGCTAAAAGTTTAACTTTTGTGGCTTAATGCAAAACCCATTAGTTGGCAAAAAGTTAAAGTCCTAACATCCAAGCAAAATGCACCAAATAGAAACCTTCGGCAAGAAAGGCTTTGCTGGGCCTTCGGCGTCTAGACATGTAAAAACGTCCCCGGGGGAGAGCTTTTCAGCGCACCAGAAAAGGTTTTCCATGCAGCATGTCCAGCTCGGACTGATCCCTGGCTATGATTTTAGTGGGCAAGGTTTATTAATCCTGAGTCAACATTAGCCTGAGGGAGTCTACCCAAAATTAAGAGGTTAAAATTGGTTGGTACCAACTTTTTTCTCTAGTCTATTTTAGTAGGGGACCCTCCCCCCTAAAAAGTTTGTAAAAGGGCACCTAGCTGGGGGACCTAGGTATTCAACCGTGAAATCTCTCAAATCCTGTCGCCCAGGGGGTTTCACGGCCTGGCGAGCATCTTACAACTTCTATTTGAGCAAAGACACTTGGAAAAGATGAGAAAGTATTTTCAGTGGTGATAGAGTCCCTTTAAACCAACAGGGGAAAAAAGTTTTAATGATAAACAAACAAAAAGCAAAAACAAAACAAACAAAAACACGCCGCGAGCGCCTGCCGCTCAGCCGGGGCGACGCCCCGTCCGAGGACATCCCGCCCCTCCGCGGCGACGTCGAGGAGGCAGACCTCATGTGGACCAAAGCTGATGTTGACCACTCTGCAAAAAGTTCAACTGTTTGTGGGTTTAGTACGGAAACCCCAACTTGATCTCAACCAAAAAGTTAGAGTCAACAGATCCAACCCAATAGCAACAAAAAGAGCTCGACAAGTAAAAGCTTCAGCTAGAAACGGAAAGCTAAAAGTTGGAAACCGAAAGAAAAAAACAAAAACAATACCTTTCCGAGAAACAAACAAAAAACGAGGAAACAACAAATACACGAGAAACATAAAAACACGGCGAGCTCCCGAGTCGAATCGTGCAGACTGAGAGACTGGGACCTGGGTGACATGGGGGTCATGGAGCGCTCCATGGGCGACACGGAGCGGTCCAGGCAAAGGCTCTCCCAGGTCCTTAGCGAGAGTTCCACGAAAACCGGTCCCTCGTTTCTTGGCTGGAAAAAAGGGGCCCCAGCAAAAAAAATAGACCTTTTTTGCCTGGTTAGTGAAAAACAAGGGGAACCCAAACGGCTCCCTCTTCTTCCAGCCATTTGGGGGCTACAGAAAACCGCCAGGTTTTTTGCACGCCCATAAGTCTAGGAGTCGATTCCTTTTCCATTCTTTTCAGCCATCGTTCTTTTCAAACACCGGATCAATTGCCCCAGGGTTTTTGGTGGTTTTCCAGAAAGATTCGGATCCCTGGGAAGAACGGGGAAGCTACCCTTAGAGTGTTACTTGTCGAGGTCCTCCAGTAGTTTGAGGTTAGAAAGGGCATCCTTTTCTCATATCGCACCAGGCGACAGAACTAACAAACACTCGGATGCCCAGTTCCAATTTGTTTGGTTGGTGGACTTTAAAGGAATCGGAACCCTAAAAACTTAAGATGAAGAATAGCAAAGGGCTTCCTGCTATAGGGGGTAAACCATTGTCTCACGCTGTTTCCTCTTTGTTTCCCAACTAGGTCCTCCAGTAGTTTGAGGTTAGACTAAGTTGGTACCCACTTTTTTCAGGACGTCTATTTTAGTAAGGGAACCCTCCCTATATACCCTAGGTCCTTCAAGTAGAGAGAGGTTAGAATCAGGGTACCAACTCTTTTCTGGACGTCTATTTTAGGGGAACCCTCCCCCAAAAAAACGGGGGTAAAAGGGCACTACTGGGGGGCCCCCAGTGGGAAAAACCAGGGCATTCTTTTTGCTGGTCGCTGATTGTTTTGAGGGAACTTCTCCAAAAACAAGGAAACAAGAAGCAACCCACATGTCTGGGTTTGGTTTACCAAAATGATCTCAACTTCCATTTGCCGAGATGTCCCCTGGGGAAGAAAAATAAGTAGGGATCGATTCTATTTAAAAAAGAGGAAAAAACAACAGCAGGGGAGCTTGCAACACCTCTTCTGAAGCACATGGAAGCCAACAAGCTTCCAGTGACGAGCCCATAGCTAAACTAGGTCCTCCAATGGAGAGGTTGGAACAAGGGTACCAACTTTTTTCTGTCGCCTATTTTGCTAAGGGAACCCTCTCCCCCAAAAAAGAATCGGTACAGTTGGCACCTAGCTGGGGGACCTAGTAAAGCAAATTGCTCCGTCCAACTTTGCGAAGGCGCGCCAAGTGATGATCCGACTTCGGGCTCGGGTTCTTGTCGGAGGTGCCGAGGTCGGAGTCCGGGGAATGCACCGATGCTCGGATGTCCGTCGCCATAGCAGGAAAAGGAGTTGACGCGGTCCCCCTCCCGTCAAGCGGTCCGAAGGGAAGCTCAATGTATCAAGACATACATTTGCTGAGAAGTCCCCTGAAAATATTTCAAGTAGTGATAGATTCCCTTTAGAACCAACAGGGGAAAATATACACTATTCTTAACCAAATGGAAGAAGAGGTGGAGTTGAGGATGAGCAAAACGTCGCACGCTTCTTTTTTTGGTGTTTGTTGTTGCATAGGAGCCAAAACGGTTCACAGCCGCATTCCGCTTATCAGCAAAGCCGCTTAGAATTTACGACTGGAACCTCCAAGAAGTTTTCGCTCTTTTCCCGGTCACTTTCGGTAGGGCTTCGTGGTGCTCGGCCGCCCCTCCTTTCCCAAGCTTGAGCCAACATGCATGCGGCGCGATGAAACCCCGAAGATGGGTCCAGGTCCCAACAGATGCCTCTGGCGAGTTTTTGGGTTCCATGTTCAACAGGGGAGGGGTACCTGGAGTCTCCATGACCCTTAAAAAATGGGTCCATGACCCCTTTATTTTGGGTCATGACCACATGTTTTAAGGGTCATGGAGACTCCGGGTAGATGGAAAAAAAAAAGTGGAGAACAATGATGCGAATCGACGCCCCGAGTTCAAACATGCACCTTTTGGCCACTGCCGACGGTGCCTGATGAATCCGAATGCGGATGGTCTTTCCTATCTGAGGGTTGTTCAAACTGACAAATGGTTAGTTTGCTACTCCCCTCATGCTTTTTGCACCCAAAAAGAGGCTCCAGTTGCCTTAAAGGGATCGAGTTGTTGTTCTTGCAACAACTGCTTTGACATCCGGAGACTAACTCTTGCGACCGGGAGGCCTTCTGATTTATAAAGCCTAGGTCCTCCAGTAGAGAGGTTGGAATAAGACTAATTACCATTTTTTTCTCTAGTTTTTTTTGGGTAGGGGAACCGAATCTCCCCCAGAAAAGAATCGGTCAAAGGGCAGAACTGGGGACCCAGAAGCTCATGCCGGAAAACAAGCCACCCATCCAAAGACCTGTGCAGAAAGCAAATCTCTCAGTTGTTCAGTGACCCTGGAAAAACAAGAATTGGAGCCCTTTTTGGGTTTGGGCCATTTTTAGTGGGGGAGCCACCAAAAAAAAAGTTGGCAAAAGAATTGGTGCCACTGAACAACTGAGACCTCTGGAAGAAGGCCGCACTTTGTGACCTTTGTGGCAATTGTATTATGGCTGGTGGCGGGCTATGCGGTTATCCATGGATCATGAGGCTATGCCCTTAATAAGGCTTATTTACAGGTTACAAGGGGATAGCCCCCCCCTCCCCATAGGCCCCCAGGGGTCCATCATTAAAGAACATATTGTTTATGAAATGTCATTGACGGCCTGCAAGGCATCGCGAATAACCCTTGATACAAGGGGCCAAATCAATAGAAGGGAGGATTGGGGAACTGCGACATCAAGTGTGGTCATTAGAAAACAAATGTAATTCTTTCGCCTCGTACACCAGTCAGTATCCTCGATAAAAGTCAAAGCCTCCAAGTGCTTTCCAAAGACTATTGTGTTCATAGAAAGGGGGATTCCCGTGTATCACAGAAGTGGGGAGAAACCCCTTGATCCCACAACCCTGAATGTAATTAATAGCCTCCTATACCAGTCAATATCGACAAAAGTTAAAGCCAGTTGAAGCTCCTGGAAGCTCCTGGAAGGTTGGGGGAAACAATCCCTGAAGCCTCTGTGATTCCTACAGGAGTGCCCTTCGCCAACATAAGTCCTCTCTCGCTTTCAAAGGTGTGTCTCGTTTAGAACACCTCCCGAAAAATTTGGTTTCCATGTTGGTTCTTAAAGACCAACCCAAGGTGGGTCCCCAAAAAAACGACACACCCGTATGACTTCTAGTTGGTTCAATTGGGTAGGCCCCCTATTTGTGCGAGAAACAACTACCAGATATATTGTGCACTGCTCAAACCAAGCCAGGCCCAGTTGGTGACTGTTTTCACACACTTTGGGGTTCAAACCACCATTAAATCAAAGCACGATTTAGTCAAACATTGGCCATACCTTGCCCATTCTCTTCAGGGATGCTTCTCTCCGAACAAATGGCTGTGGGTCAAAAATGGGTACCCAAAATAGAACCCTGGTAAATGGAACCCATGACTAAAACAGGCGGTCCATATCCTGCTGGTTTAATTTTGACCCACAAATGGCCGATTCCCTGGCAACATGTGCAGTAAGTTGTAAGACATTCAGCATTCGACTCGTTACGGTTGGCAAAACTCCCCCCAAAGAGGGGATCCTCCAGAAGGCCAAAAGGAACTCCATTAACTTGGTTGACGTTGGAAGGGGAGCATTTTTTTTTTAGCAGTTAAGTGAATGGATTTCAACTACTAAACCACAATAAGCAAAAATGTAAAATGTTTCCCAACAACAACCATGTTAACCCCCAATAGGCAACTTATTGGTTGCTATTAGCTCCCATTGGGGGTTCTGGGCCGCCTATTGGGGTGTCCATGACAATAGGACTAAGTGGATTTGCCAGAAACGTCCAAACTTTGTTTGCCATACCCTGGGGTTTATATAACCACAATTTCATCAAAGGGGGTTTATATAACCACCATCATATACTCAAGGAACTTCGTCCGCCAAATCGGGGGCGAATCGGAACCCTAAAGCTCATGTAACGCCCACCTAGACTCCGCGGCTCCGCAGATTCCCATTCAAGAGTTCAGGCGGATTTCTGTACGAAAATGCCTGGTTGGGATTCTCCATTACCCTTGAGCCTTTCCAACCCCGACTCGGGGTCTGACGAGCCGCGAGGCCGAGGCGCGCTTTGGCTTTGGCCGCTCTTCTCCACCACTCCCTGTGCTCCCTTAGGGAGTTTTGGGGCGAAAACGCGGAAGGGTGAGACCAAGGGCTCAATCGTCAACCGATCCCTAGCGCCCCTGGCGCCCAGAAATCATGAACCAGGCCGTGGGCCCAACCACAGTGCTGAATATGATATACAAAAATAGATTCGCGGACATTGCTAGGTCTTCTCAGTGTCGCGCTTGCTTCGTTGCCGTTTATGGCTTTCTCTCTGTCTCTCTCTCTCTCTCTCTCTGTGTCTCCCTCTCTCTCTCACTCTCTCTCTGTGCCTCCCTCAATATAATACGCATACATATGAACACAGTCCATGTAAATTTGTACACACAGGTCTGTGTGTGTGTGTGTATAGTGTATATATATATATATTGTACACATATGCAGTCACGTGCATCTGTTTAAAGCGTTGAGGTACACTCACCGGGATACTTGACAACAGCCCTTGAGACGGCGGCCAAAGGGCAGCAAATCAACGCGCGCTCGCGCGCCGGCGACTCAGCAACTCACAGATTGGTCGCACGGCAGAACCCCCCAAATTGAGTGGGTCATCCACTTCAACTGGTCAGCAACTTGCCGATCCTTGGCATGCCAGCCCCCTGCAACAACTGAACAGAACCTAAAAACACCACAAACCTAAACACAGGCCAACAGTCAAGCACAGATTGCTTGACCACTGGAAGCTCGCTGCCTCTTTCAAAAAAATGAAGCCCGGAAACTGGCTCGAAAAACCAGCCCAAGAACTTGCTGGAAGCGCTTCCACCCCTGCCGAAGCCGGTGTCTTCCTCGACCGAATGGGTAGACAAATGGCTGTGGCTCAAAAAACCGGTACCAAAATGGATCCCTGGCAAGTGGAAACATGGACCAAAACCTGCGGTTTGCCCCTCCTGGTTCATTTTGAGCCACACCCAAATGGCAAAGAAGAACCGGAAACCGTACCAAACTTGTACTTAACTTGCTGGGTCTCAGGGTAAGGGAAGCCCCTTCCGGTTCCTTCCCGAAGCCAACGGGCATTCCCTATCGCACCAGCTGCTGGTAAGCCCGAAAGAGTGAGCCATGGCTGGAGTCCCAAGTGACCTATGGCAATTGCCAGTTTCGCTGCTGACCAGAAAGCTAAACCCCCAAATCCAAGCACCCTTTGATCATCTTTAAACTCCGAAGCGTACCCGTGCGGGACCCACGTAAGTCTGGTTCCCTCATAAGCGCCTGGTTGGACTGGGTTCCTTATAATTCCGCACCAAAACAAAAGCTCCAAGCAGTCCCCCGTGACATCGAAATTCGGCGAGCAACCTGCATGTCCTGTGGATTTTTTGTTGGTGAGTGCGCCCCATACCACCTCTTTATGATCATACCCGGAGTCTAAACAAAACCGGCCGTGGCAAAAAAACAAAAAAACAAAATAGAAAACGCCCAGGTGGCATCCCCACCAGCCCTCCCGAACCACCAAACAGCTTAGCTCGTACACACCTCCAAGCTTTGAGCCGGGAAGTAAAATGAAGGGCTCCCCTTTGCTTCCCCAAACCAACCCCAAAATGGTTTCAGTACCATGTACTCAGAAAGCAAGACAACTTCTAGTATTTGCGGGGAGATTGGGCATAAGAAGCGGGTTGTCTTAAAACTACGAGTCGTTTTCGATATCACCTTTCAGAGGCACCAGGGTCCCAAAAGGAACCGACAATGTCTTTGCCTATAAGACAAATCCTAAGACAAATCCAACAAATTGGTGTGTCTTAAATTGGGGCCGGCCGGGGGGGGGGGGGCGCAACTTGGACTTAGCGAGAATTCTTTTGGGTGTCCCTTTAAACCCACTCCAAAAAGGCCTGGACGCTCCAACTACCATTGGCAAGAAGGGAAACGCCCCCGAAGTGTGGGCAATGACCCATTCCTCAGATCCCCCCGCTAGATGGACATCCCCACCAAACACTGAAAGCCTAAAAAGCTCAGGAGATGGAAATCAAGATTTTTAAGCGCAGCTTGGTGTACCCAAGACGAGCCATATGGCGAAAAACAAATCAGGAGTAACCCCCTCAGTGCTCAAAAGTGCGCGGAATAAAAGTCCCGAAAGTAATCCCACCTCAAATCAGGAGTAATCCCACCCACATGATGTCCAGCAATGGGTCCGTTCAAAGCCCGCTTCCCGCTTGCGCTCACGTGGTCAAAACCCTAAGCCCATGAACTCACAGCGAATGAGTACCTGGACCC